AAACATTTAGGAGCATAAGAGCCAGTGTGGTGTTAGCCTATGAAGATGATGACTCTGGAGAAAAGGGTTCAAATCCGCTCATCCTTGGAAACCCATTCTGTTGCATTCTCTCCATTGCGAGTCAAAGACAAACCCCTCTGAACAGATCCTGTCAAGAAAACTGCATTAATAATAATAATTATTATTTATTTATTTATTTATTTATACCCCGCTTCCATCTCCCCAAGGGACTCGGTGCGGCTTACATGAGGCTGAGCCCAAATACAACAATACAAGCAATAATAACAATACAAGCAATTAAAATCAAACATAGACAATAAAACAATAACATAAGCATTAACAATAAGACAACACACTATTTAAAACTATGGGTAGGCCAAATGTAAATTAAAATTAAAAATAATGCTGGAACATGGGCGAAAAAAGTGATAGGGCGTTTGTGGAAAACATACAAGCAGACCTAAAACAATGTAAAGTGCTTTGAAGGACAACGTGCTGTGGGATCATTATTTTGGGAAGGCACACTGGAACAACCACATCTTCAAGCTCCTTCTAAAGACTTCCAGAGTTGGGGCATACCTAATGTCCTTAGGAAGTGGATTTCCTTACAGTTACCAGAAATCACAAATGGCAACAATAGGCATTATAGAGGAAAAAGGAATGAGAATCAAAGGGAAAAGCTGTATTGGTGATAACAATACCTAACAGTTTCAATAAAAGTAGGAGAACCAACCATTGAAAAAGTTAGGGCAGCGAGTACAGAGGCCAAGATGATTAAGTCTTAGTCGAGTGTGTGTTTCTCTTGTCTTTCTTGAAATGGGCATTTGGAATAAGGGGTTGCTGAAGTAAAAGAAGAAACACAGCAGGGCCAGTAAGGTGCAGAAATGTGCTGAGTTTCTGGGGGTTTTAGTGTTTAAATCAGTGATTCCCAACCTGCGGTCCATGGACCACCAGTGGTCTGCAAGAACAAAAATATGGTCCACAGTCTCACCATTACTACACCTTTGCCTTAAAACCACACAGCAACGAGGGCAAGTGGTGTCGCGAAACCCTCATATAGTGCCGAGGCAACGGGGAAGTTGGGAGGGGAGAGGCTGGCAACCCACGAAAGATTACTACCACCTCAGCTCTAGATTCTTAAATAGGGTTTTCTGTGGGTGAGCATATGGCGACTACTGGATGTCATATGTTCTTTAACAGAAACTAAAGCTGATGTGGTCTATCCAATATAATTTTATGAATCAGCACCCCAAATAACAAAACCAAATCTAAAGTTGACCAAAAACTGATTCATAACCCTTTTAGTACTAATGTTGGAGAGTAGTCCCTGGTCAAAAAAAAGGTTAGGAACCACTGGTTTAAATAATTGCTGGGACTGACGTTCATACTGAGCACTGCGAAGCTAAATACAGTAGATCTCTCTATTAGGGCTGGGCGGTTTCGTTTTGTTAATTCGTAATTCGTTAAAAATTCGTTTTTGTTTTTTGTTTGTTTGTTGTTTTTTTTTATAACGAAGCGATAACGAACCATTCTGGAGCAACTTAAAAAAGAAACGAATTTTTAAATTCGTTTCGTAAATGCTTCGGATTCGTTATGTATTTGTTTCGTTATCGGTTTGAGGTCATTTTGTTATTATTTCCGCATGTCTGGGGCAAGTTTTATAGTTGTTTTTTGTTTAATTAGTGAAAAAAAATTATAATATCACACCAACAGTCAACAACAGAGGGAGAGGGAAGCTTCAGAAGTTCCCCCTGTCCCATTTGGAGGTTTTTTAGCGTATTGCGCGGTTGCATCCGCCATTAATGAATCGATTCCTTATTGTTTCGTATTTGTTTTGTTAATGTTTCGTAATTTTTTTACATTTACGAAATTTCGTAAATATCGAACTTTTTAAAAGAAAAATTTCGGAATTCTTTTAAATATCGAAACGCAAAAAACCCCAAAAACAAATCGATTTTAGAAACAAATTTTTCCGTGGTTGCCCAGGCCTACTCTCTATATATTTTGTAGGATTTTGATAGATGCTATATCTCTGGTAACCACCAGTAATTCACCTGGAAAGAATTTGATTAAGAGTGAAGTGCCACTGAGATAGAAGCAGGAGGAGGATCCAAGCTAAGCTGACCACTTTTAAGTTCCCTTAGATGCCAGTGAGAGAACTAATCTCGTGCTTCCAGGATTTTTAGGCTCACCAGATGGCACACCACAGGCTACTTTCCCCCATTTTTCCATTTCAGCAGTTTAGAAGGGGATTCCTTACAGAGAATGTAAATATTAATTTTCTTATTTGTGAGACCTTAGTTCCAAGCTTTTTTAAAAAAAAAACTTTTTAAAAAAGGTACAAACTGAAATCTGCACTTTTAAGTTCTCTGTCTACATAAGACAACATTTAAAGATCGCTTGTCAAAGAAAATGTCAACTGGTTTCCTAGGCAACCTGCTAAAGATACTTGAAAATCTAAAGATAGTTGTAATAATGTCAGTAACTAAAGAATATTTTTCATCCTGGCTTCGTCTATAAGAAAGATTCAGAAGCCATGTAACCCCACTCATTATGGATCATTTTGGTAATTTCTAGTAATTAGACCTTGTAGACCTTTTTTATGCCAAACCAAATAGATCAAGGTTAAAAGAATGGGGTGCATAAGCATGCCTGAGTTAACAAAGCAGCTCCTTTTTACAACGTCTTTTTATCACAACCTAGATCCTACTTTTCCACTATTTAGCTGGATTAAAAAAAAAAACCATCAGGATTGGGATGATATTAAAGGAAGACTAAGAAAAGATAGACTTTTAGTACTAGATTACACCAGTGCATCTCCAATAAAAGAGTGTAGTAAAGCTTGAGTTTGGAAAAAATGGGATCCTACTCTAGTGGCTTAGCTGTGAGTTTCTACCTGTAACAGGCAAAGTAAATGGGAGTTACCTTCAGAATCTCTTACTCCGCATGCATGAGCAGCAGAATAGAAAGAAGCAGGGAAAGCAGATATACTCACCTTACCAGCTACAAAATAGAACTTGGTGAAAGTGTCTAGAAGTTTCGAAATGTTTTTGTTTACTCACATAAGCACATTGTTAAATTTGGAGGGGGGTAAAGTTCACTGAAACGTGTTGAACTGATCTTCTATTTTGTGGTATAGGAACCTACCTCTATTCTTTCCACATTATGTCTGCCTCTGGTACTAAATCTTTAACTACATCACCAGCTGAGGAATTAACAATACAGACAGTCCCCGAGTTACAAATATCTGAGTTAAGAACGCCTTTCCACCTGCTACTAAGGAGGCTGTTCAGGTCCTGAACCAGTGTTTAGCAGCTGTTATGGTCTGGATGAGGACAAACAAATTGGAAAGTGAATCCAGACAAGACAGAGGTTCCCATGGTCAGTTGCAAGGCCAAACAGGGTATAGCCTTACAGCCTGTGCTGGATGGGGTTACACTCCTCCTGAAAACACAGGTTCGCAGCTTGGGAGTGATCCTAGATTCATCGTTGAGCCTGGTGGTGGCTAGGGGAGCTTTTGCACAATTAAAACTTGTTGTTCCTGTACTTCGGGAAGGCAGACTTGGCCAAAGTAGTCCATGCTTTTGTTACATCCCGAATAGATTACTGCAATGCACTCTATGTGATGTTGCCCTTGAAGATTGTTCAGAAGCTTCAATGCTCACCAGAGTGGTGTAAAGACAGCATACAACTCCCCTGTGTGTGTGTGTGTGTGTGTGTGTGTGTGTGTGTGTGTGTATCTTCTTCATGGTTTCTGTGAATGCACACATATACTTCGCCTGATGTACCTGTTCCAACTTACATACAAATTCAGCTTTAGAACAAACCTACAGAACCTATGTTGTTGGTAACTTGGAGACTGCCTGTACATGGAAATGCAAATAGGATTAACTTGTTGTCCTTTGCATAGTATGCAACCATCCTATAAGCATCCATTTCTGTTTCAGATCAGGAACATCACTGCTAACCTGCAGGGAGTATTTTTGGCAGGGCAGAACTGTTAGCTTGTTTGAAGCCTGGAAAGCACATTTATTTGGAAATATATTCCACTGAAATGCTTTAGATTAGGTTCCTAGAAAATATGTTTAAAGTTAGAAGTATCATTTTCTTTAACCTTATCTCAAGAAAGTTCTTTGGAGTCACTTTATCCTTAAGCCTTTTTATGTGACGGTTGACTTAAAGGCTATTCAAACTACTGTGGTTTAACACCTAAGCAAATTAAGGTTTGAGAGTGAAGCATCATTTCAAATTCACATACAGAATACAAATAGATAGAATTACTCCTCGTTCAGGAAAAAATAAAAAGATAAATTCAAAGAGTGGGATCTGTATCTAGTTTATAAATTAAAATTTCATTCAGCAGACATGGGATGCAGCTAGAACTTTATAATATGTAATATTTTCAAAGTAAACACATTTCATGTCAGCTCAACCTGTCGTGAACCAAACTGATTCATCAGCACCTGATTTAAAGGCCCATGTGGATGTGCATAAGCTTGCTGTCGGGATGCACAGCTAGAGGCTGCTGTTCTCCCCCTGAAACCTAAATGCCATTCACTCATGTGCATGAAAAGAGGATCATTCAGCCTGCAGGGAAGGGATTCTTCATAACAGCTGAATCTCTAAAATGGCAGACGTTCCTGGAGAAGAGACATCTTGATCTTGCAATTGAGCAACAGCCTGGAAAGGTCCTGGCATTCTTCCCCAATTGGCCTCCATTTCTTTACACCTTTCATCCAGCATTGATAGTCAGTGCCAACACTGTGGTTAAATGGGCATTTGTAAGAATATATGTTTATTTGTGTGTTTTGTGGAAAACAACAGTCATACATACTGCTGTGTGTACTAGATGTGATGAGAGGTGATGACATTTGTCTTTCTTTTCCCAGCCACAATCTTAAGCCAGTTTCTTCCATTTGTACAAGCATATAAGAATAGCAATGGGTTTTGTAATTTAAATGTTATTTCTTCCATTCTAAACATAATATGTTTTCTTCCAGCTTTTTAGAAAGAATAGACAGTGTCAGTATGCCTGACTACACACCAACGGATCAGGTGAGTGAAATTGGGAAATGGTTTTTGCTTCTATCCCTATGTCACATAGCAGCTTGCTTTTCAAATTACTGGGAATATTTAACCGAATTCATGATGCAATGCGGAGTCAGCTCTTCAAAGAGTAAAATTTTTCTGGTGGACTCCTGTACATCTCCTACAGATTTCTGGACAATATTTTAAAGCAAATGTCAGGCATCATTTGCACTGGTGATATCTCACGACTAAAATGAGCCAGCCTTTTTCATTTTTGTGAGGTACACAATGATGCTCAATGCCTGCAGGAATTTAAGGAGAGAACTCAGTACTTCACACACTTGCTGATGTGGAGAGGCACAACCTAATTTTTAAAAATGTTTATATCAGATTATTCTATAATAATTAGTGACTTTTCAAAGGTTTGCCTTACTTACTGTTCATACTTATTGTACGTTTTTATATGGAAAATGTAACACGTGATTCTGTTTCCTATTTCCAGGATCTTTTAAGATGCAGGGTTTTGACATCTGGGATTTTTGAGACAAGATTCCAAGTAGATAAAGTAAACTTTCAGTGAGTACACTAATAATTTCTAACTTGTGCCCAGCTTCGTAAAATACAGGCAACTACGAGGATTATCCAGAAAGTAAAGTTACAAGATTTTTTAAATACAAAGAATGAATATATTTTAATAAAACTTACATGGATTGTAGCATAGGTATTACATTATTTTTCCACATAATCACCATTCAGTTCAGTACCTTTTGTCATCCGTGGTATGAGTTTTTGATGCCTGTGTCATAGAAGTATACCTTTACCTTTTTCAGCTAGTTTTTCACTTTGATTTTCATCTTTTTGTCAGAAAAGCATTTCCTACCAAGGTGTTCCTTCAATTTAGTGAACAGGTTATAGTCACTGGGTGCGGGATCGGGGCTGTGAGGGGTAGCTTAAAACATCCCAACCAATTGAAGTCAACAGCTCTTGTGTTGCATGAGTGGTGTGCGGATGCGCATTGTCATAAAGGAGACAGATTCCTGCTGTCAGCATCCCACAACGTTTGTTTTGGATGGCTCTGCAAAGTTTCTTCATGGTCTCACAATATAATCCGTATCCATTTTGTTACATGCTGTCTTGACATTACGTCCTCTCCATAACTGAAATGATTTCACGATGAATCGCAGCAGCGTTCATGCCCTTAACATTTAGGTAGCATATTACATTGCAAACTTCGCACTTGGAGGGAAACGGAATGAGGATGCGCATCTCTAACTTTCACCACAATGCCAGTCAATGAGCTATTGACAACTGGCACTGCTTGTTCGCTTCTGCTGGCTTCCCGCTACACGTTAGTGATACCAACTTCCCCTGAAAAAATTCCCCATGAGTCCTACATGGTTTGTAACCTTACTTTCCGGATAACCCTCATATATATACTTTAATATTCTTGCAAAGGGAAAGGGATAATTCAAAATGTATAAACTACCATCATTGCCTTTCTGTAGTAATTCACTGCTGATTAAATATTACTGAAATATTGCTTATTGTTTGAAAGATCAAGCACTTCAAATACTGAGAATTAAAGAGCAACAATGTGTGGTCTTTCAACAGCATGTTTGATGTAGGTGGTCAGAGAGATGAAAGAAGAAAATGGATCCAATGTTTTAATGGTAAAGTAACATTTTCACATTTTCAATTCAAGTCTCAGACTATTTTATTCTTGCTTTCTATTGTATTGTGTATATTGCATAGACCAGGATGAATTCTTAAATTTAGAAAATCTGTATAATTTTGCCTATGTAACTCAGCTTACATTTCTTAATATCATTGCAAAGCATGTCTGAGCAGTTATTACCTTTGCAAGACACAATTTTTTTAATTACATTTTTTAATTTCTCTACTGTCCCTGATACGATCTCCCCCAGATGTCACAGCTATTATATTCGTTGTGGCCTGTAGCAGCTACAACATGGTCATAAGGGAAGACAATAACACCAACAGATTACGGGAGTCTCTGGATCTCTTCAAAAGTATCTGGAACAACAGGTAGGATTCCCATGTAGAACATTATATTCATGTGGCACTATGACAAAAAATAGTATGTTGCATTAAACAAGAAAAATACAGAATAAATATTAGAATAATTTAAAATATTAAAACCGTGTATTATTTTATGTTCAGGGATAGTATATCTTTACACACCACTGGAGACTAGATAAAAGCTTAGGAAACTTTGTGGCCTACAGTTCCCAGAATTCACCTGCCACCATGCTGATTAGGAAATTAAGGGGCTTGTAAAAAATATCTTTTCCATTCTCTGATTAAAGAATATACACAACATTTGTGAGCTATGGGAATAGTTAGTTATTGATGTGTTATCTTTGAGTCCTTACTTAAGGTACATTTGTATTTCACAGGTGGTTACGGACAATTTCAATCATTTTGTTTCTGAACAAACAAGACATGCTGGCTGAAAAAGTCTTGGCAGGGAAGTCTAAAATTGAAGACTATTTTCCTGAATTTGCACGATACACAGTACCTGAAGATGGTGAGTTTCTTAATTCTGCTAAGACACAACTAGATAAATACTTGTTCTCCTTTAAAGCTTGTATGTCATATATAAACTTGAATACATTTTAACCATATAGATCTGAAAGCCAACATGAAATCATTTGGAAAAGAAACAGTATTTCTGTTATGGTTGTATATATTGTAGAGCTGCTTTTAATTGAACTTAGGTAAAATTATTTAAAATATCAGAAAAACAGTTTTGAATAAATATTTCATCAGAAGCTGTTCTAAAAGTCTTTAGCAGATACTTAGATGATTCATTCACTATGCAACAGTTATTCCTCATCCTAAACTATTGCTGGCCCCAATCGTGCTCTTGGGTTTGATAGGATGCAATGCTCGAAAAACAATAAAAACCACAATTGGGCAGGTGACTATTTAGATCTGACTATTGCAATCCATCAAAGGCCACATCCTCCAGATTTACATCTAGCAATAAACAGAAAGATGGGTTTTTTTCTGTGATGCGATAACTTCTGTATAAACACACATCAATATGCTTCATTTCAGTAATAATTCATATTTATATATACCAGACATGGACAAACAATCTAACTTGGGGGGGGGGGGCGCATCCTAGCATTCCCTGCTAAGAGGACTGGCTGCCCAGTGATGGAAGGAATAAAACTTTATAATAATCATAAAAAAAACTGTATTTATATTCCGCTCTATCCCCCCAAAGGGACTCAGGGCGGATTCCAAACATAAAAGGCAAACATTCAGTGCCCGAATACAACAATACATCCATACTAACAAAATTTAAACAACCCAACATATAAACACGAACTATAACTTAACAACTAAAATAAAATAAAAACACAGTCTATTGTAACAGAAGAAAGGAAAAGAGGAAGGGAAGAGAGAGGGAAGGAAAGACGAAAGGGAGGAAGAAAAGGATCTAAGAAGAAAAAGGGAGAGACCGAAGGAGGGAGGAAAGGAAGGAAGGATGAAAGGGTGGAAGGGAAGGAAGGAGGATGAGAGAAAAAAGGTAAGGGAGGGAGAGAAGGAAGGAAGGAAGGAAGGAAGGAAGGAAGGAAGGAAGGAAGGAAGGAAGGAAGGACAAAAGGTGGAAGGGAATTGAGGGAGGGAGGGAAGTAAGGGGGGAAAGAGAAGGAAGGAAAGACAAAAGGGAAGGAGAAAAAGGGAGAGGGAAGGAGAGAGGGAAGAGGGAAGGGAGGAAAGATAAAAGTTGGAAGGGAAGGAAGGAGGGAGGGAGGGAGAAGAAGGAAAGGGAGGGAGGGAGGGAGAGAAGAAAAGAAGGAAGGAATGAAGGATATGATGGTGAGAGAGAGGAGGGCCTGAGAAAAGAGACCAAGGGGCCGCATCCGGCCCCCTGGCCTGGGTTTGCCCATACCTGGTATATGCAGTACATTGTATAGTATTGTATGCTCTCAATGTTTTCCAGTACCCAATTCATACGTGTATTGAAAGAAAATAAAAATAAATAGTTGGAATTCACTGCCTCTATATTGAGTATCTGCTCCTTTATCTTACTGGTATCGTATTATTGACTTCTTTCCATGGTCACAACAGCAACACCAGATGCAGGAGAAGACCCCAAAGTTACAAGAGCAAAATTTTTTATCCGGGATGAATTTTTAGTAAGTAATACTTAATTTTTTCTTTTGCAAATCTGCATGATTAAGTTCGTCTGAGAACCAAGGAGTTTTTACCATAATGTTTAAATGCTATAGAACAGGAGTGTTGAACTCATTTTCACCGGTGGCCACATTATCGTTGCCTCCAAGCAGCCATTTGTAATCGCAAGACTGTATAAACATAACTACGGTATGTTGCCCTGGCATTTAAAGCCTCACATGGCACATAAAATAACATGGAGGGCTGGATTCAGCCTGTGGACCCTGCGTTTTGACACATACACTGTAGAAGAGTAGGTCCTTCATTGTAAAATATTTGCAATATGAGACCACGATCCATCTTTTCCACATGACAATCAGCTCTGTCATACCTGTGTTTCAAATCATCTCAGCTTGTATGTGTCTTCACATTCCTCCTTTCTATCCCTCTCCCTTGACTCCCTTCATTTTTCCTTCAATACACTTCAAAAACTTCCATGAACTCTTTAACCTATTTTTCACTACCAGTAAAACTAATTCTTCTCAGCAGTAACTGGTGGGTGAATTCCATTAATTGTAAAAGAGATACATATTTCATTGACTTAATTGTTTTATTTTTAAATTTACACATTCATTAAAAAAATCAATACAAATCTATACGTGCGTGTGTGTGTGTGTGTGTGTATCTATGTATATCACACACACACACACACACACACACACACTGACATAAACCAATGCAATATTTCCTAACAACTATATAATAATTGTACATAACAATGCCATTCCCTCCTCCCACTCCTTCCATTATAATGAATTCCCATCCTTTGGGTTAGAGCAGTGATTCCCAACTTTTTTTTTTTACCAGGGACCATTCTCCAACCTTAGTACCAAAAGGGCTACGAATCAGTTTTTGGTCAACTTTAGGTTTGGTTTGGTTATTTGGGATACTGACTCAGAAAATTGCATCAGCTCTAGTTTCTGATGCAGAACATATGCCATCCAGTAGTTGCCATCTGCAGGTTGGGGAACCACTGGGTTAGAGACAGTCATGTACAGTTCTGTCCTGCCTTCCTGTTACAGTATTTTTCCATTCTTCCTTCTGGCATGATAATTATTATTTAATCCAGCATGTTCAGTCATCCTGGGAATGCCAAACTTTGGCTTAGCAATTTAAAGAGAAAAGGGAGAATGTGGTGGGGTGGGAGGAGGAACAGAACAGTCATCATTAATTAGAATGAAATACACACAAAACTCCCCAGGAGAACAATGTGTTTTTCTTTATTGTTCCAAGATCTAAAGAAGGGCTGTCAGATCTTTCTGGATATAGAAACTTGAAGCAGAGAGTGGTCCAAAGAAAAATATTCTTTCCTTTTTAGGTTGGTAGGGGATGAGATTAAAAAATAAAGAGAGTTGGTAATCTGAATTTTATGTAGATTTAACAAGTTTTACTTAACAAGCATGTGTGTCTCTGGAGCAATAGTCTCTTGGCCATATTAATTAGTAGTCTACATTGTCCTTGCATTGGTTTTCTTGCATCAGTATTTATTACTCTCTGATTAGAATTGTCTCTCATTCCAAAAATAAGTCATGCAAAGTAAGTGCTATTCCCCTTGTGCTGTGAGCTATAGCTATGTCTGTAAAGGGCCATTACCCTGAAAGCAGTGGTTCTCAACCTGTGGGTCCCTAGGTCTTTTGGCCTACAACTCCCAGAAATCCCAGTCAGTTTACCAGCTATTAGGATTTCTTGGAGTTGAAGACCAAAACACCTGGGGGTCCACAGGTTGAGAACCACTGCCTTAAAGGGCCTCCAGCTCTTGACAAATTATATGAGAGCACATGTACTACATGTATTAGAATACAGAATATCTGAATACGTGGTTACTTGAAGAAGGTAACCTAACCTATTTATTTTCCTGTGTACTTTCTACCATTAAATGTGCGAACAAGTTGTGTGAGTAGTAATGCTGAATGTTCTTTAACAGTTGGGAAAGTTAGTAAAAGCATACCAAATCACCCACTCACAAGTGCCAGCATTATTTTGTGTCCAGTCTGGTACTCTTGTCAGTTCCATGCCAAAATGACATTTAATTGTTACTTCTGACCTATCTCCATAGGTAGGATTGATGTATTGATGTATTTGTTTATTTACTGCATTTATATACCACGTTTCTCACCCCTGAGTGGACTCAAAGCAGTTTCCAACACAATTGTGGCAACATTCAATACATGTGAAAACCAAAACATAATTTCTAGAAAATAATATATACTATAAATTAAGAACCTTAACCATATTACACATATCTGCATAAAAACATATACATTAAAATCGCATCGTGTGTGTGTTCGGCATCTAATGGTTGCTAGTCTGTACACCGCCCTGAATCGCCTTCAAGCTGAAAAGGACGGGATAAAAGTGTAGTTAATAAATAAATCATTATTTTGGGTATGCTATATTCGGCACACAGTGATCTGTAACAATCAGGCCCCTATTATTTTACTGTCTGCTGTAAAATGTAGTTTGTGCCTTTTGAGTAAAGTACTCTTGTATGCGTTTTTTTTTTTTAATCTCCTGCAGAGAATAAGCACGGCAACCGGAGATGGGAAGCACTACTGCTACCCTCACTTCACATGTGCAGTTGACACAGAAAACATCCGCAGAGTGTTCAACGACTGTAGAGACATCATTCAGAGAATGCATCTTCGCCAGTACGAACTATTGTAACTAAAAAAAAAAACACCATGGAGCCTGTGGTTTTAAACATTTTCTTTCTAGATTTCCTCACGTGAAGTAGAGGAAGATACTACATAGATACATCTGCCTCCTCAGTTTGTTTACTTTGACTAGCCTTTCAACCCAGTCCATGCTTTAGGGGACAATGTGTGTGCTGTAATTTTTTATATGCCACTTCTTTGTCATTCCACTAAGGCCTTTGGCTACCTCTGTTTCCTTCAGTTTGGTTGCATTTTTGTTTATTTATAATTGGGCACAGCCTGCTAATTTTTGTTCAGCAGGTTTGTTGGTTCAAGCCAGTATCTGCTAGCTGGGTGACACCATGGCATACCTATCGTGTGTGTGGGTTCCTTTTCTACCATGACGCTGAAGAGTACTTGATGGATGGGGAGGAAAAAAGAATAATGCACTTTGTTTCAGGGTTATGAAGTACTGCTGAGGATGTATACAAGAGATGTAGCAGCATCACAATATTTATTATTACACTGTCGGAATTTTCTAACATAACTTGAGTTGCAGGTCAACGGGTGAAGTGACCTCCTCTTTTTAAAGCCATTCTTGGCACAGGAGATAGAGTAGATGAGGCACGGGGAAGAGAAGCAATTTTTTTCTGGAGGTCTGGAGCAAGGAGTCTCTACACACCTCAGGCATTTGAATTTAGAGCTACTTTTTTCCGCCTATGGCACCTAGGCAGAAAAATCCACCCTCACTTACATTGTTTCTTCTGTCCACAAATGACCAAATTCGTTTAGATCATTTTTGGGCAACAGTCTTCTCCCTATATATATATAAATATATATACATAATATATATATTTTTTGTTTTATTGCTGGTTTATTATATTGTACAGACTGTAAAGTGTAATATTATTTTGTACACTTTTATTGAAGAAAAATACTTGTAGAAGATCTTTGTGCCTTGATTATGGCTGTACCTGTAAAATGAGCTAAGATGTAAGTATGTTTTTGATTGCGCTGTACAGCTTGATGTCAACTTTACCTACAGCAGAGACTGGCGGGTAAAAAAAACTTCTCTGTAGAGTTTAGGGGTTTTCCGATTTATATAAAAAGAAATGCTCTTTAGTATAAAAAAAATTATAAATTATGCAAAGTTAGTCATTTACCTTTCCAAGTAAATTATTGCTGCTACCAGAGATATTGCAGCAACATGCCTTTCTCTCAGTCTCAGCTTTAAAAACATGGAAATTTATTCATGTGTCCAAATTGCAACCTGGCGTTGTTTTATGGGAATCAAGGATCTTGTTTTACCTTTAATAACTCTATTCAGTAATCCTTTGGTCATTCATAGACCCTTCACAATGGAACCGATTGTGAAACCTGTAGAAGCACCACTACGTAAAGGCTCTTCGATCTTTGTTGCAATGGCCGCTTTCATTGTGCACACTGAAGGAAAGAAGAAAAGGTGTAACCCTTTGTGTCTGGCCCAAAAGAGAATTACAAGACGACCCTTTTATTTCTCTTAATAAAGAGACCTTAGAAAAATGGTTTTTTATTTTAAATATATCGTAGAATCACAAATATGTGAATATTTCTCAAACTTGAATAGTTTATGCAAATGACATTCACAAAATAAATTGTGGGACAGTACAATATAAAAGCAAGAATTGCTGTAGCAATAAGGCATGCCCTGCTCCGTAATTGTAAGACTGCTTTATATTTTATGCATAGGTGTTATGTCAGAGTACATAGTTTCCTGTGTCCAAAAATAACCTGTACAAACATTTTAAATTTGTAGTTGCAATAACGGATTTAGAAGTATTAGCCAACATAACTTCATAGATTACTTCTCATCTGGATTATCTTCACTGTTATTTTAAATTCAAAAACAAAATTATTCTGAACGCTTCTCAACCACACAATGTGAATGAATTTTTAAATAAGGACAGCATGTTTGTTGTTTATATAAACCCAGACTGTTTTTTGGTTTTGTTTGTTTCCGAAATACTGGACAGGCACAGCGTGGTTGTAATTCTACAGAGGGGTCAAATTAGTAATTTTTGTATTGCAATGCTTCAACACTTGTGGACCCATTCAATGTTTTCCAATAATTCAGTAATACCCTGTTTCCCCAAAAATAAGACAGCCCTGAAAATAAGACCTAGTAGAGGTTTTGCTGACTTGCTAAATATAAGGCCTCCCCCAAAAGAAAGACCCTTGTTTGGAAGCATGCTCCCCCAGTGGCTGGAAGCTGCAATACCATCCCTGCTGTACGGTAATAATATAATAATAATAATACTTTATTTATATTCCGTCCTTCTTGCCCCAAAGGGGACTCAGGGCGGATCACAAGTACACATAGGTCCAGGAACTGCTGTGGGGGATCATTACAGTCTCCAGTTAGTGTGTGGGAACCAGGTACTTTACAACCCTTATTTTTGTGGCCCTGTGTGAGGGCCAGTATATTTATTATATATTGACAATGACTGTCCAATATATGATAAATGCTCTTTTTTTGTTCAACAATAAATTTGAATTTTCCTCCATGGAAAAATAATACACCTCCCCTGAAAATAAAACCTACCACATTTTGGGAAGCAAAAAAATAATATAAGACACTGTCTTATTTTCGGGGAAACAGGATAGTAATCACGCATGTTCCTACAACGTTACAAACACTTAACTTCAAGATTCCTACTTCCCTTTTAAGAAAAGGAAAACTGTGGCCCCGCTGGGTGACAAAAGTAGGAGAGTATTTGAAAAGCGACATGCAAGGGGGGTTGCGAATATCTCCCAGTTTTCTCCCCTTCGGTGTGCAACACGGTCTATATACCCTGTATAAGTCTGACTGTATAAGTCAGCCAAAGGACTGTCGTGATGCAACTGTCTGCAATGGTTGTGAGATATTGGCATTGATTCATCCATATTCTAAATGTTAATTCATCAGGGAAAATAAGCAGATGAAGAAATTTAGCTTGAGCACTTTGTGTGGCTTAGTTTAATTCCCCCCTCCATAAATTCCATCCTAAATACATATGCCGGCAATTCTCTTGGTTAGTCTCAAGTTCAGTAAACCCACAGAATCAGTTGTTGAATAAGTTAATTTGTAGTTCTAGTCAGGACGAGCAGGAGAATTTAGACCAGGTGTGGGCAAACTTCGGCCCTCCGGGGGTTTTGGACTTCAACTCCCACAATTCCTAACAGCCTTAGGCCCCTTCCCCGGCCGAGGGGGAAAAGGAAGGGGCCTGAGGCTGTTAGGAATTGTGGGAGTTGAAGTCCAAAACACCTGGAGGGCTGAAGTTTGCCCATGCCTGATTTAGACCATATTTTGTCAATGCCATTGATCTGTGTATGACTAGGCTCCAAGTATGTTGTTCTCTGCACAGGACCATTTTCCTTTAGAGCAGTGGTTCACAATCTGTGGGTCTCCAGGTGCTTTGGCCAGAAACTCCCAGAAATCCCAGCCAGTTTACCAGGATTTCTGGGAGTTGTAGGCCAAAACACCTGGGGACCCACAGGTTGAGAGCCAGTGCTTTAGAAGAACACCTATGTTTGGTTTTTATACTTTTCTATACCTATATGGCCAGGGTCAAAGTTTAAGAAGCCCTGTTTTTGAGAACTTCAGCAAGACTTTTTCGACCTGTGTACAAGGGATACACAAGACCACACATGGCTTATTAGGCACAGACAATCCATGGATCTAAATGGTTCTAAAGGACTTACAAAACTAGGGGGCGCTGGTGCTTTGCTTCTACAGGGTTGCTAAAGTTCTGGTGGTGAAAATTTCAGAACTCCCAACAAAACTTTCAAAATGTCATTATTATTTCGTTATTGGCAATTTTTATAACAGAACCAATTAGGAACTGCCATTTATAACTACCAGAACTTTAGCAACACTGTAGAAGCAAAGCTCCAGTGCCCTCTAGTTTTGTAAGTACTTGAGAACCATGGATTGCCCATGCCTTTGGCTTAATTTAAGCTGCTCAAGAGGCTTGACCTCAGCTTTCGGCTTGGTTGGCCAATACTCCGCAAGCCTGACTGTATCACATGATTGTCATCTTAAACTACTTCATTAATGTAAAGGACTCATCTGAAGTCCCTTATCCCTATCCCAATAGACTATACAAAAAAACTTATGTAAAATAACTCTACATCGACTCTGTTGCTGACATCAAGGAAAAGGAGTACCACATGAGATGGTCCTGCAGCAATAACACTTTAAAATTGTTTCCAGTTAGAAAGATTAAGCCTCTAAGCAGTACAGAACACTATTGCAGACACAAGAGGAGGCTTGTAGGACTTACATAGTGTACAGTTACAAAACTTTTAATATACATATTTGATACAAACACTTTAGCAAAGAAAATAAAAACTATTCATTTGATTGTAGAATACAATATTTTTGTACAGCATGAAAACGTTCACAGTTAAATTATTCTGTAGTTAAAAAGTCATATCAATTGTCTAGGAATTTCTGTATGTAAAGGCAAACTTTGCCTTTGGGCTAGCAATTCAAGTACGCATTTGCTGGCATGAATGTAGTCTGATGGACTGTTCTTTAGCTTTGGTGTGTCAGTGACTGATTACAAGTGTCTGACTCTTCATAGTGCTTTATACTTAGTGATTAAATGCTGAACAAAATGGAGCGGGGAGGCGAAAGGCAGAAAGTGAGCTAGTGTGGAGACCACAAGCACAACTCCTGCTGTACAGTAGATCGTAATAACGGTGTTCTCACAGGGAAGAAAGCACTTGTAGAGAGAGAAGTCTGAGGATGTTATGCTGCCCTAAGAAAGAGAAACAATGGTTTAGAAGACTGTGGGCAACGAGCAGCTATAAGATTTAAAGCGGTACCACTGGTAGAAGAGCTCAGTTCTTTTTCACAGCGTCAGTGCTTTCAACTGTACTGCAAACAAAGAGACTGGGGACCTACTCACATTAGAGAATGCGTCCACTTTAAATCTTGTTTTTGCCTCCTGCAGAATTCTGGGGTTTTTAGTTACTTATTTTATTTATCGTATCAGGAGCGAACCAAGGATACAATTGTAATGTATTTAAAAAATAAACCCTACAAAGTTTAAAAACTTGGCATTCTATTAAATGTCCTTTGTAGCTGGCCACTTGGAGTGCCTCTGGTGTTGCTATAAAAAGGTCCTCCATTGTGCGTGCAGCAAGGCTCGGGCTGTATTGTAATAGGTGGTCTGTGGTTTGCTCTTCTCCATACTCACATGTCGTGGACTCCACTTTGTGGCCCCATCTCTTAATGTTGGCTCTGCATCTCGTGGTGCCAGAGCACAGTCTATTCAGCGCCTTTCAAGTTGTCCAGTCTTCTGTGTGCCCAGGGGGAAGTTTCTCATTCAGTATCATCCATGGTTTCATGTTTTAGCCTGCCACTTTTGGACTCTCACTTACTGAGGTGTTCCTGCAAGTGTCTCTGTAGATACTAGAAAACTATTTCTTGATTTAAGGCGTTGGCTTGCTGGATGATAAAGGCTCCTTAAACTACAAACCCCTGAATTCTCAGAGGTAGCAACTGGATTTAAAGTGAATTCATTCTCTAGTGTGATGAGGTCCCTAGGACAGTTTGGAAACCCTTTATCCTAAACACTCTGCTGTTAAGCACCAGGATAATATTGAGCCATGTGAAGGAATTATGTTCCCAAATAAGATCACAGAAGCTTGAAATAGTAATATAGACAGGTTCAGACCACATTGCAGTTACTAGCCACAGTCCAACAATGAACTAGACCCTCCCTTCTGAGCACATTGATATCAGTATGATTGAAGGGTGCTTTAGCTGTGTTGGAAACTGGCCATTTGCATCTGGGGGACCACATTTTTGAGATCACATGAGAGGCAAGACCAGATTAGCAATGTTCTTGTAGTATTTGAGGGAAGGAAAATCACAGATAATCTAGGCCATCTATATTTCAGAGTGGTGGAAAAATGTCATTCTGAAGTAAATTGGACTGTTGGTAAGTTATCATCCCAAACAAAACTGAAGAGGCAATATGTTTTCCAAGCAGAAATGTTTAACACTTGTGTTATTTGCTGAGTCACAAAGACCTTTTATACATGAATTTCAAAAACGGTCCCGACAGAGAACCAATTTGCCCTTCCCATGCACAAGAGGATGGAAAACTAAACATAGAGTTGGTTTTTTGAAAGTAGAGATGTTCATGTTTTAAAACCAGGAAACTTTTTGTGTTTCAGGTTAATCTACTGAGAATTGTGATGACCTAGTATACCCAAAGTAAGCTAACTGTGAAATAGGTTCGCCTGAATAGAATTTTGCTGCCCTATGAGATATATAGTTTGCACTTTTGAAAGATGAAAGAACCATGCAGATAAGATATGGTCTTGTGGTTAAATCAGCCAAGCAAAAACAAGTCTTAATACTGTTTGTTGCGGACTACTGATGATTGTTGCAGTCAAATTGTTTACACTGCATCCTCTTTATAGAAACATACGAAAGATGCTTGTATTTAGAAATCGTTATTAAAAACTTACAAAAATGTCTTTGCACTGTACAAGCTGGATGGCTCCTCGAGTATGTACTTTATAAAGCGGGTGCTTTGTACTCAACGTAAGTGTACTTTTGGAGAGGTCGGGAGGAGCTGTTTTGTTTTGCTTTTTTACAGGTAGCATCAGTCTGAGAAAATAGCTGATTGCTATGTTGATTTATATTATGAAAAAAAATTATCTGAGAAAATAAAAAAATATTTAAATTTACCATTATGAAACTAGGATTGTTTCTGTTCCTCCAGCTGAACGAGGGAACGCTGATTTCTGGGACTTTCCCATTATGCAATACTTCGCAGGCACTGTGGGTGTGTCCACTCAGGATCAGGCGAGGACGAAACCACCATAGCAACTGCAATGGAGAAGGACATTGCAGACACTGAGAAATTTTCTGGGCTGTATGGCCATAACATTTCACCCGCATCTATGGCAGGGACCCTCAGAGGTTCTGAGGTCTGTTGGGAACTAGGCAAGTGGGGTTTATATATCTGTGGAATGCCCAAGGTGGAGGGTGCCAGCAGAAACGGATTGCAGTTTAGCCGAAATACACAAGTCTAATACCTGCCAGGACGTTAACAAGGATGGCGTCAGACTAACTTTCTCGACACAGGCCCCTTCCACACAGCTGAATAAAATCCCACATTTTCTGCTTTGAACTGGAATATATGACTGTGGACTCAGATAACCCAGTTCAGAGCAGATATCGTGGGATATTCTGGGTTATATGGCTGTGTGGAAGGGCTCACAGCTACTCCTACAAAGAAAAGCCTAGTTTGGTGCATTAACCGACTTAGCCTGTAAACATATGAGATATGCAACAGGGCCACTACTGAAAATGACCAATTCCAGTTGGGATCAAGGAGTTTTTCAGATATCCTGGACTCAAGCCATTCAGGTCAACGATGGTAAATACCAGGGAGTAGGATCAAATGCAAAAGCATACCGGAAGCCAGTTTAAATACTAGTTACATACATAATGGCTTCTAAAGCACAAGGAACCACAGCTAACCATTTTGCATCATCTGTGGCTTCTGAACCCTTTAAGGACAACCCCTTGCAGAGTCAATTCTTGCCAGAAATCTCATCGGTTCATTTAAGAGGAATTAGTTCTCAGAGCGACTCCACCACAAAGCCATAAGAAAAGATATCCATTATTGTACATTGATGATGCCACCACAAAGGCACAATTACTACATATAACAAAAGAATGGGATGAAATCTGGGAAGCAAAAGTTCATCAAGGTATGTATGACTGGGAATGATATCATCCTGAAGCCCTTTAAGCTGGTTTGATGATCATAACCATACATATACAACACACACCTATTTATAGTCACAATTTATAATAATATAAGAAAATTGGGTTGCTATGAGTTTTCCAGGCTGGATGGCCATGTTCCAGAAGTATTCTCTCCTGATGTTTCACCCATATCTATGGCAGGAATCATCAGAGTTTGTGAGGTCTGTTGGAAACTAGGACAGTGAGGTTTATATATCTGGAATGTCTACAGTGTAAGAAATAACTCTTGTATGCTTGAGGCAAGTGTGAATATTGTAACTGACCACCTTGATTAGTATTTAATTGCCTTTTAGCTTCAAAAACTGCTTGCTTCCTGCCTGGGGAATCCTTTCCCCTATTTTTACAGTGTTGCTCTTTGTTTACAGTCCTGATTTTAGAATTTTTAAAATATTTTTGACAATTTCAACTGAAAGGAAGAAAACCTGGAAAATGTATAAAATCTGGCTAGCAGTATTTTTTTAAAAAAGGAGAGTAAATAAAGAGGAACACTAAAAAGGGGGGAATTCCTGACATGAAACAACCTGGGCCAGCTAACACCTCCTAATAAAGGATTCCCCCAGGCAGGAAGCAGCTAGGCTTTGAAGCTGCAAGGCCATTTGTTGCTAATCAAGGTGGCCAATTACAACATTCACACTTGCCTCCAGCAGACGAGAGTTCTTTCTCCCACCCTGGACATTCCACAGATATACAAACCTCACTTGCCTAGTTTCCAAGAGACCTCACAACCTGAGGATGCTTGCCATAGACGTGGGCGAAACAACAGGAGAGAATGCTTCTGGAACATGGCCATACAGCCCGGAAAACTCACAGCAACCCGGTGATTCCAGTCATGAAAGCCTTAGACTACACATAGGAAGAGGATTATTCTACAGAAAGTACACCCACTGCTACCTAATTGTCAAGGATACCTGTACATCTTTGAGAAAAATGATAGAAAGCTGGATTAAAAGTATGAGGTTCAAAGAAGATGGAACCTACCTTTTGGGAAGCTTCCTGAGAAACCACATCATACCTCTCTCTAAAAAGGTCATTCTTTTCCTCCAGAGGAGCAGAATCCTCCCCTGTACATTTTGCATCACTTCTTCTATACAAAGGATAATGCTGAAAGGATTTTAAACAAGAATTAAACCATCCAATAAATGTAGGCTAAATAAAGTGGAAGTCTACCCCACCACTCTATCATAATCTCTCAACACACCTGTAACAGGATTGGAGCCGAAGGTGGAAGTCTATCCGCGTCGTGGCACCTTTTCCTGTTCTGATTTTGTTCCTGTCAACCATCAAGCAAAATTTGGTTTGCATCCTATATTATGTTATAGAAGATCAAATGAAAGATGGTTGTTTCTAAGGTTTCAGAGGAAGAACAGAAGAAATAACACCATCAGATCTAGACAAGGATGAGGCAATGCTTATATCCTGCTCCAAAGTTGAAAAGTTCCAAAAACAGAAAATGGCTGCTTGCTGAAAACCTGAATACTGAAAGGTTAATAGCTGTGGGGTGCTTTCACCATGTTTTATGCCGTCCCCCTGGGGTTCAGATAAGTAAAACTGTGGATATGAGTTCCACAGTTAGAGGGATGTTGCCATATTCTAAAAATATTCAAGATGCAATCCCTATAGCCATTCAGCAATCTGGATGTATCACTGTCTAGCAGCTGATTCTATCAAAGGCAATTGCTTATGCAATAGGTTGCATTCTATGTTCCGGCGGTTGTCAAGGTACCCAGGTCCAGATACTGCCACTATTTGCAACTGCTACAATTACACATGGATCCCAGTTTAGCAACCTCTTCCTGCCTTCCCACATGTTATTCCTTCAAAATGATTCTCATAGGTAATCAATGGAATAAGCCTATTTCCCAACCTTAAGTAAAACAGCACAACCTTGTAAACAGGGAGAAGCACGAGAAGATTTAAACACTATTTGCAGAATGGAAGTTTACAACAGAGGCTTTTTTAGATTATGTTTTATACAATGATTCCCAGCATCCCCCCAACTACTATGATAGTTGGAATCTAATAATAATAATAATAATAATAATAATGATAATAATAATAGAAACAACTGGAAACGATACGAGGATTTAAAGATCGGACTGTAAAGACTCTGGCACAAACCATTAAAAGTCCCAGTGGTGATTGGCACACTGGGTGCAGTGTATAAAGACCTTGGCCTGCACTTAAACACAATCGGCACTGACAAAATTACCATCTGTCAGCTGCAAAAGGCCACCCTACAGGGCATTATTCGCCAATACATCACACAGTCCTAGACACTTGGGAAGGGTCTGACTTGTGATCCAATAAACAACCAGCATAGTGATCTTGTTTGCTGTGTACTAATCTTGTGTTTCAAATTAATAATAATAATAATATTTTTATTTCCCGCCACCATCTCACAGGCCCAACACAACATAGTTTACCAACTAAAAATACATTTAAAAACATAATAAACATATAACAATCTAATTAAACAAATAAAAACAACATTAAAATGAATCTGAATCTACAAATAGATAACTTTTCTAAGGCACTGCAATTCCTAGGAAAGACCCCCAAACAAGAGCCTTAATTAAGCAAGATGATCTGAGCATTGCAATGCAGTCATTTGTTGCCCTGGCTAATCTTCTTTAAGAAGCTAAGTATATCCTTACCTGCAGTGAGCAGTTGAGTTTGTGGGAGAGTTCAATTAGCTTTGCTTCTGCATTTTTGCAAATCATGCAGCCATCGCCCTCCAGTGCAACACTGTTCACTAGAACAAAGCTAAAACAGAGGAATGTAAACATGAAAGGACTAATTTAGGTTTTATTTATTTTAGTGGATTTGCTCATGACTAAATCAAGATCCAACCAGATATATCTGTAATAAAGAGATGCGATGCTCATTAAAAACAAAAAAAATAAGGTACAGTATTTTCTGAAATCAATTTTCAATATTAAAACATGGTTCTCATGTTCTCTCTCTACCTTCTCTTCTCCCAGCTAAATATCCCCCTGGAGGAAAGGAAGAAGGAAAAAGAGAAGGAAGAGAAGGATGGAAGGAAGGCTGGAAGGGAATGGAGGGAGGGAGAGAGGGAGGAAAGAGAGAAGGAAGGAAAGACAAAAGGGAAGTTATGAAGGAGAAAGAGGGAGAGAGGAGAGGAGGGAGGGAAGAGGGAAGGAAGGACGAAAGGGTGGAAGGGAAGGAAGGATGAAAGGAGAAAGAGGGAGAGAAGGAAGGGAGGGAGGAATGGAGGATATAGGATGCTGAGAGAGGAGGGCCTAAGAAAAGGGCCCAAGAGGCCGCATCCGAACCCCAGGCCTGGGTTTGCCCATTCCTGGTGTAAGAACAACAAAGCTCCTCAGCATGGAAGATGGAGTGACAGCACCCACCTAACCCCCCCACCCCCAAAAGGCCAGAGTCAAGCACAGCCTTCAGATGCCAGAGATGGAAAAAGATGGGAAGCCTTTACCTCTGTTTATGTACTGCTTGTGTTTGTTAATTGCATAACGACACTAAATGTTTGTCGTATAGGTGTACAGTAACCTGCCCCAAGTCCCCTCGGGTAGATAGGGCAGAATATAAATTATTATTATTATTATTATTATTATTATTATTATTATTATTGGAGGATCATGGCCCCAACCTCAGATTTTGCTACAATTAATTTAAAGGTGAGACTGCTTCTCCTTCCAAGGATGATCCATTGACCCACCTGTAATTCAGCATACAATAAAAAAAAAAAGTATAACTGCTTGAGCTGCACGATTATTATTATCTACAAATGCATGGTTTTGAAACATTGGGAAGGCGGAAAATGCAGCTTGTGTCCATTGCAGCTAGAGGTTTGCTTATGACACAATTGTCAAAGCAAATCTCCTGCTCTGGCGTTACAATCTTCTCTTGAAAAGTAGAAAATGATCCTAAGATAAAGAAATCTATTCACAATAATTTCAATTAGAGCAGACTAGGGTACAACCATTATGAAACTGGTATCCTTCTGTAAATGCTATCAAAATGATCCTAAAGATCGCAATGTGACAAAAAACAGAAGTTGTACTTACTTTATCCCTTTTCGAGTTATCAATTTTTCTGAAGAGAAGTTGAAAACTTTAGAAAAGCGCTCCAATTTGAATGTAGTCATTCTGTGTACAATGATAAAAAGAGCATTAATAACAGAAAGCATATTCTATTCAAGAATAGCGTACTTGCATCTCTTGCTTGCGACTGAAGGACCACCAAACCCTGGAGTACTCTAGCAATGGAATTACCGTCTTTCTGAAATAGGGTGCAAAAAATAAAACTGCCTTGCAAATGCCATCCTATTAAAAAGAAAGTGAAATATGGCTAATGGGTTTTGTATTGAAGTACACCTATGGTGACTAAGGCCCCATCTACACTGCCATTATAATGCTGATTGAAATGTATTATATTAGTCTACACTGGTCATATAATCCAGTTAAATGGTGTCATGTGAATCTACACTATATAAGGCAAAGGTTTCCCCTTGACATTAAGTCTAGTTGAATCTGACTCTGGGGGGTGGTGCTCATCTCCATTTCCGAAGAGACAGCATTGTCTGTAGACACCTCCAAGGACATGTGGCCAGCATGACTGCATGGAGTGCCATTATCTTCCCATTAAAGTGCCCCCTATTGATCTACTCACATGTGTATGTTTTTGAACTGCTAGGTTGACAGAAGCTAACAATGGGAGCTCACTCTGTCCCACAGATTTGAACTGCCAACCTTCTGGTCAGCAAATTCTGCAGCTTAGCAGTTTAACCTGCTGCACCACCGAGGTCTCACTATATAATAATGATGATAATGATGATGATGATGATGATGCTTTCTTTATAACCCGCCCTATCTCCCCAAGAGGACTCAGGACGGTTTGCATTATAATGCAATCTGCATTATAATGGCAGTGTAGATGGGGCCCCAGATTCAAATGGCCATTTCACCAAAATGTTACTGAGGTGTTCATTGCCATCACTCAGCCCAACATACTTCACAAGCTATTCTTAAGGATAAAAACTGAGAGGAAGACCATGGATGCCACCTTGAAACTCTTTCAGAAATGAAGGATATAACAGAAACAACGATTTGAGATAGATCTGTCTTTCATTACCTTTCATTACACAATCCAATCTTCCCTTTTACTAAATTATTCCTTGTCTAAAGACAGATCTGCCTTGGTTCACTTTGTTTCTCTCTGCCTTGTACAAAAATACCAGGACTGACCTTGACTGGTTTGATACAGATGAGAGTAAGACTAGATGGCCTTGGTATTTCACATCTAAACACAAACCAGTGCAGAATGGTACACAACAGACAACACAGAAGCTTTAGGGTGGTTCACTGGACAAACCTTATTCATGTCATAGGAGGAAAGAAAACTGCCAGGAGTAGAGACCATTAGGATAGTTCTACATTAGTCAAAGCAGCATCTTTCCCTTCCCACTGCCTTTCAAAGTTGAAATGCTATTTTGCTGTGGTATCAAATCCACGATCTTTCTGATCATTCCCAGCTTTGCACTGAATCCCACCAACTTTTTAAAAAATACTTACTCATAATGAAAGCCAATGTCATGATTGCCAACAATCACAATTAGTTCGGTTTGGGCTGGATGCCTAAACATTTTCTGAAAGCGTCTCACATCATTCGACCAGGCCTGCAGGAAAATGTGCAATGATTCTGAGATTGTATAACCCAATTTAAACTGGTATTACATTTTGTCACTCACTAGATACTGCTGCTTGTCTCTAGAAACTATCACAAGCAGGAAAACACCAATCTGGTAACTTCAGCAATGTCCAGAAACTTATGAGTCTAATGGTATTTGGATGGCCACTGACTCTTTAGAGAACTGCTTCCTAAACCGTGAGTCCCGGACCCTTAGCTCAATGTTGGGGTCATGAAAAATATGGCAATAATAAAAGGTTTCTGAACACTATCAATTTATACAAATGTTAGCAACGAAGTGCAGTGCTTATAATAGACTCTACATAAAATGCTTCAACTGTACTTCATAAAAAGAAAATCAACCTGTTTAGCAAGTCTTACATATGCTGATTTGTTGGAAATACTTGAGCATAAGCCAACCCAAATATAAGCCGAGGCACCTAATTTTACCACAAAATCTGGAAAAACATATTGCCTCGAGTATAAGCTGAGGCTGGGAAATGCACCAGCTACTGGTAAATTTTAAAATAAAAATAGATACCAATACAATTACATGAATTGAGGTACCGGTAAGTTAAATGTTTTTGAATATTTACATAAAATTGTATTTTAAGATAAGACTGTCAACTCTGATTAAACCATTATTCTAACTTTCTTCAATGTAAATGTGCTTAAGTATTCTTCCAATAATAATAGAGTAAAATAATAATATAATAGAGTAAAATAATGAAAGTAATAAACATAATAACAGAGTAAAATAATGTAAATGTAATAACAAATGATAGAGTAAAATAATAAAAGCAATAATAATAAAGTAAAATAATAACCAATAATAATAGAATAAAACAATAAATGTAATAAAAATAATAATGAGTAAAATATAATAATAATAATAATAATAATAATAATAATAATAATAATAATGAGTAAAATAATGTAAAAGTAATAAAAATAAAATAATAAATGCAATAAAAATAAAGTAAAATAATAAATAAGCTTGACTCGAGTATAACCCAAAGGGGGCTTTTTCAGCCTTAAAAAAAAGGGCTAAAAAAACTCTACTTATAATCTAGTATATATGCATTAGCAATAAATGTTTTAATTACTACCTATTGGGTTGAAGTGGAAAAGTTTTAAGAAGCCCTGTTTCAGAGCACTGCATCTCAGGCTATCTTACATAGTGGGACTGGCAATTATTATTATTTTCAGAATGCCTTGGGCCAACATCTTATTTGTGTCCATTGGCCACAACTGTTTATTTCTCTTCTCAACAGGTATTAGCTTGGAGTAGAACTGCTTTAGAGAAACCAACCAACCACAAAACATTTTATTTAGCACTTATAAAATAATGCAAACACAGATTGTTTCCACATTTTTGTGCAAAACCTGGTGTTTCGGTAGCCCTTATAAAATATGGCATTAGGTTTATTTATTACAGATATTAAGAAGAATAACTGGTTACTATATAAATTCATGTATAAGTCAACTTCATGTATACACTGAGGCAGCTTTGGAGAGCAAAATTATGGCTATTTCTAAGGATTGAAAAATTAATTAGAAATGAGTATTTGTGCAAAAAGACTACAAGCTTCATTCTGGTTTTGCATTCAAAATCAATCTCTGGGCTCAGAATTCTTTAACTTTAAATGTATTTACTTTGCTCCTGTTTCTAGCTAGTGGGGCATGACCTTCTAGTCCAGGGGGCCTCAAACTTTTTACACAGAGGGTCAGTTCACGATCCCTCAGACTGTCGGGGGGGGGGGGGCAACTATAGTTTTAAAAAAACATGAACGAATTCCTATGCACACTGCACATATCTTACATGCAAAAAACACATGAAAGAACAATACAATATTGGAAATGAAGAACAATTTTAACCAACACAAATAGACCAGTATTTCAATGGGAAGTATGGGCCTGCTTTTGGCTGATAAGAGAGTCAAGTTAATTAGGATTGTTGTTGTTGTTGTTGTGTGCCTTCAAGTTATTTTAGACTCAGGGTAACCCTAAGTCTGAAGTTTAGGGCGGATGGTGAGTAAATGGCCTTGGAGGGCCATATCTGGCCCAAGGTTTGGTTTGGGGATCCCTGTTCTAGTACAAAACAAAAGAGACTGGATAACTCCTAGGCCTGTGCACTTCTGCTTTTGCTAGTTCGAAGAACTGCATTTGATCTCCAGCTTTGTTTTTTTTCTCAAGAAAGCTCTGTTTGGTTTCAAGAACACTAACCTGCAAAGAGCTCCACTTTCCCTCATCAAAGACATCTCCAAGGATAAAAACTATTTCTGGCTGCAGAAGCCAGAGGGCAGTTTGGAAAGCTCTCTCCATTTGCCATTCTCTGAAAGATAAAAACATGGAAGACCCATATATCCAAGTTAGTACTACAAAACAGGGCCAAAGCTTCAATTCTGAACTCCTGTATTTGAATACTCCCAGACTCCAACTCCTCCGTCAATGGCAAATGTGTATTAAGTAGTAAAAAAAAAATACTGTAGTAAAATACTACTAGAAGGCATTTGATCATCACCCATGTGACTCATGAAGTCTACTTAAGACTGATTGAACACCAAATATATTTAATCTACTAAAATTTCTAAATAAGAAAACCTTCTTAAATTCTTATGAAATTAAACATGTAGCAGACTAGGCATTTAATACATTTTGGAGGTAAAACATAAGTATACATATACATATACAGTATTGGGTTTATAAAATTGTTTTATTTCTGAAAATCATATAGATAACAAAGCATTACAATACAAACCTTGACATTCTTGAAATCAATATAGATGACTATTTACAGTTTTTGTAACTAAGTTACATGTTCAGTTTGTATGTCAATATAGATCAATTACTTTCCCCTACATATATAGTATTTATTTATTGTGTCAGACGCAAATTGAGGGTACAGTTAAAATGTATTTAAAACAAAAACAAAGTTAAAAACTTGGCATTATGCTACATGTCCTTTGACCAGAAGCTAGCCACTTGGGAGTGCCTCTGGTGTCACTGTGAGAAGGTCCTCCATTGTGCATGTGGCAGGGCTCAGGTTGCATTGTAGCAGGTGGTCTGTGGTTTCCTCTTCTCCACACTCGCATGTTGTGGACTCCACTTTGTAGCCCCATTTCTTAAGGTTGGCTCTGCATCTCATGATGCCAGAGGAAAGTCTGTTCAGTGCCTTCTGAGATGCCCAGTCTTCTGTGTGCCCAGGAGGGAGTGTCTCATTAGGTAACAGCCATGGATTGAGGTTCTGGGTTTTAGCCTGCCACTTCTGGACTCTCACTTGTTGAGGTGTTCCTGCGAGTATCTCTGAAGATCTTAGAAAGCTATATCTTGATTTAAGGCGTTGGCATGCTGGCTGATATCTAAACAGGGGATGAGCCAGAGATGTCACTGCCTTGGTCCTTTCATTATTGGCTGTGATTTCCCGGCAGATGTCAAGTAGTGCAATACCAGCTAAACCAGGCATCTTCAAACTGCGGCCCTCTGGCTGTTTGGGCCTTCAACTCCCAGAATTCCTGACAACTGAACAACCCCGTTAGGGTTTCTGAGAGTTGGAGGCCCAAACAGCTAGAGGGCTGCAGTTTGAGGATGCCTGAACTAAACAGTATAATTTCTCCAGTGGTATTGAGCATAGATGTCCTGTGATAATGCGACATGTCTCATTAAGAGCCACGTCCACTGTTTTAACGTGGTGAGATGTGTTCCACAATGGGCATGCATATTCAGAAGCAGAGTAGCAAAGAGCCAGGGCACATATCTGCACTGTGTCTGGTTGTGATCCCCATGTTGTTCCAGTCAGCTTTCACAGACATATACAGTATTGTTATCATATTACTGAAGCTGGAATTGGTACATTTCTACCAACTCTTGACTCAATCCAAAATTGTTTTTCACTCCAATTCCAGAACTCAAATGCTGACTTCAGTCCTGCTGAAAGGATCAAGAGCCAAAGGGAGTGAGGCAAAAGTGCAAAGAACTTGATGTTTTTTCTTTGTCATTGTTAGAGAAGGCTTTTCTAAGTAAATAAATGCAGAGCAGATGCTCTAGATCACTGCTTCTTAAGCTGCAGATTCTAACCCCAAATGGGCTTCCCCTTCTTAGCTCAATGTTGGGATCACAAAAAGTTGACAAGAAGACAAAGTTTCTGAATGCCACCTATTTACAAAAATCTGTTAGCAACAACGTGCAGGAAGCAGAAAATGCTTCAGCTGTACTTCATAAAAAGGAAAATCAGCCTTGCAAATGCTGATTTGTTTCCATTAAATGTTAGATGTCTTTACCTATTACAGTATATTGGAGACCTTGGTGACACAATGGGTTAAACCCTTGTGCCAGCAGGACTGAAGACCGACAGGTCATAGGCTCGAATCAAGGGAGAGTGGTGATGAGCTCCCTTTGTCAGCTCTAGCTCCCCATGTGGGGGCATGAGAGAAGCCTCTCAAAGGATAGCAAAACATCAAAACATCAGGGTGTCCTCTGAGCATTGTCCTTGCAGGCAGCTAATTCTCTCACACCAGAAGTGACTTTCAGTTTCTCAAGTCGCTCCTGACACACACAAAAAACCTATTAGATATACCTATATACCTGGAGTCACTTAAAAATTTCTCAGTCCAAGGGGGGTCACGACTGGAAGAAATTCAAGAAGCCCTGCCCAAGGCTACAAGCCATTCAGAGTCCCAGCAGGTGAACCAAGCTTATCAACGTTGTACAAAAGTTCCTGTACCATTTTTATCTAGGAACTTCCTATATAGATGTTATTTCATCAAAGTTTTAGGTCAGAAAGCTAGATGAAATTGATCCTAGATGCTTCTATGATTCTAGATCTGTTCAAAGCTTGACCTCTAGTCCTTCACTCATAGCAGATGCCAGTGTAAGACAAATAGCTCGAAAATACAATGCCCTCCACTTCCTTTCTACCTCTGACAACTCAAGGACTGGAAGGGAAGCAGCAAATCTCTGCAGCCCAAGGACATTAAGGCACTGCCTGATTCTCCTGTCAAACCACCCCTCAGCTTTCACTCTGGCTTTTGGCAGCAATTTATTTTATTCTACTTTGCTAAAAATACAGTTATGATCAAGTGAACTGACTTGTACACATTTATACTTCTTTATACAAAATCATTAAAATGGAAAGCAAAAGGATCATCTCTGAAGGTCATCTCTCAGATATGCAATTATCATCAAAGTGCAGATTTTCCGTATTTAAAGTGAGTGCTCTCACCATGAGTTGATACCTTTATTTGATCATAGTTTATTTTTAATCTTATAGGCTTACATTTTCCATGTTTAGTTTGTATATTGAAAAACCTTTCTCTCTCACACACACACACAGATTTTTTAAAAGATTTTTTTGTTGCTGAAATCAATTATGAATGCAGCAAAATGCTGAACAATGACAGATCTCAGGTTGCAAGCAAACGAAATGCACTCAGCAATAATCCACGTGACAAACTGTCAAGTGGGGCAGCATCCATGGTCACCTTCCTTCCTCTAACTCACTGCATACATTGGAACTATTTCTTCAAAATAGTCTAAAGGAAAGCCTAATAGAGGCAGAATAATAATGCTGCCTTTCTGCTTGTCTGAATGATTAGCTGGCCCATTCAGCCAAAAGACAATGTTCTGATCAAACCCAAATCTACAACCATGATTAATGTGTATGATGATGGACTGGTTCCTCCTCACTTCCACAGCCAGATGAGGAAGTGCAAACTCACAGTACCCATATATTCCGGCATATAAGACGACTGGGCATATAAGACGACCCCCAACTTTTCCAGTTAAAATATAGAGTTTGGTATATATTTGCCGTATAAGACTACCCCTCTTCCAACGCACACCAAATAAAAAATTAAAAAGCATCAGATTTGATTTCAGTATGGTAATTTTTCTATTACTGTACCCCCTTCTCTGCCTCTCAGATCTCGCACATGCGCACCTGCACCACTTCACTGCAGTCTTCAGGAGCGAGATCTGAGAGGCAGAGGAGGAGGTATGGTAATAGGATACAAGGACGGGCCATATTTGGTAAAAGAGGTGTGTTTGTCTGGGCCCAGAGCCACTCTATCTCTTATTTCCATACCCCGGGTGCCCCAGAAGCATGCAGCTTGCTCTGCCCTTCACTTACACCTTCCTGGTGAGGCGCCCCTTCACCTCACCATTGGGACCGCATTAAGTCCACGAATCCTAATGAATGGATTTTCTTCTACCGTACTTGTACAGCGTCGTCCTTAATGCTTTCATACAGTCGCTGCATACGGCAGGGACACGGCCATTGCCATTTTTGAGCTTCTCCCCACCATATGCGGCAACCACAGATTCTCTAATCCAAGTGGAAATTTCAGCACCCACTCTATAAGATGACTCCCAGCATATAAGACTACTCCCACGTATAAGACCCCGCGTATAAGACGACCCCTGACTTTTGAGAAGATTTTCTTGGGTTAAAAAGTAGTCTTATACACCAGAATATACAGTAGATATTTCCCATATACCTCAACACAACACTCAGATTAGCATAATCTGCAAGTAAATAATTTAAGAGGAAGCGCTCTTATTTGGAAGGTATACAAATAAAGTCCACACATTTTGTAATGAGGGAATTCTTATATATAGCTTGTAAGATTGTGGCTAGTAACATCTATTGGGTGGGCCTGAGAATAGTAACTGCCTCACTGTGGGTGCATCTACACTGTAGAATTAACACAGTTTGACACCACTTTAACTGCCAAGCTCAATGCTTTCAAGTCCTGGCAGCTGTAGTTTTACAAGGCCTTTAGCCTTCTCTGCCAAAGTGCTGGTGCCCCAACCCCAACTGCTACCCCCAGGGTGATGATGATGATGATGATGATGATGATGATGTGAAGGTTTATATAAAACCTAATTTATTTATTTAGAACATTTGTATCCCGTCCTATTCTCAAGCTCTAAAGAGGGACTCAGGGTGGTTTCCAACAATATAAAAACACCACTAAAATACACAATTACATAAAATGATAATAAATATACATTTAAAAACAGCTGTAAAACATCCTGCAAATCAGCCAAAAATGCGGTCTATAAGATCTCATCTACCTAACTGGTTTAACCCTCACAATTACATGGTTTAATTTTAAAAAATCTATTCCTATACAGTTGTTGTTATTATTATGTTTATTTGCATGCCACCTTCTCTTTCCATACGGAGATTCATTTTAGCATGCTGAATCGTTTAATGTGCTTTTTGGTTCTAATACTAATTTTATTCCTTAAATTATTTTAAAATAAAACGCAGGGAACAAAATCAACCTCTGTACATGGCATACATTGACTTTGCAAAGACACAGTGAATCACAGTGCTCTCTGGACCATCCTCCAAAAAATCTGGTGCCCTGATAAGTTTGTGAACATCCTGCGGCTCCTCCACAATGACATGATGGCAACAATCTTGGACAGCACTGGCTCCCAAAGTGACCCATTTAAAGTAGAATCAGGTGTCAAGCAGGGATGTGTTATTGCCCCAAACTTATTGTCCATCTTTGTCACTATGATACTTCATCTTGTTGATGGGAAGCTTCCCACCGAGTGGAAATCGTCTATCAGATAGATGGCAAGCTATTTAACCTCAGCAGACTGAAAGCCAAAACCAAAATCACAACATGTTATAGAACTCCAATGTGCCGATGATAACATAGTCTGCGCATTCAGAAGACCTACAAGGCATTCTAAACACCTTTGCAGAAGCATATAAAAAGTTCACCCTGTCACTGAACATCGAGAAAACCAAAGTGCTCTTCCAGCAGTTACCAACCAATCCCTCTGCAATACAGAAATACAGCTTAATTGTGTAATAGTATAAAATGTTGACCATTTCCACTATCTTGGCAGCCACCTCTCCACAAAAATCAACATTGACACTCAAATACAACACTGCCTGAGCTCTGCAAGTGCAGCATTTTTCCGAATAAAGCACAGAGTGTTTGAGGACCGGAACATCTTTAGGGAAACCAAGGTGCTTGTTTATAAAACTATTGTTCTCCCAACCCTGCTATAGACCTATGAAACCAGGACCGTCTACAGACGTCACACAACTCCTGGAACAATTCCATCAATTCCAACAATTCCAAAAATCCTGCAAATCTCTTGGGAAGACAGGCGGACAAATGTCAGCGTGCTGGAAGAAGCAAAGACCACCAGCATTGAAGTGATGCTCCTACGCCATTAACTCCAAAAGCGGTTGGTGGGGACGAGAGACGGGGCCTTCTTGGCAGTGGCCCCCTGTCTGTGGAACTCTCTCCCTAAGGATATTAGATTGGCCACCTCCCTCCTGTCCTTTAGAAAACAACTGAAGACCTGGCTCTGGGGCCAGGCGTTCAATTAGAGGCCAGCGGCAATAGGAAAAGGAAAGTTGGATTTTTGCGACATGGATTCTCCCGGCTTGGCTTGGTTTTACTGGCACGTAAATCAATTAATTTATTGTTAAATTTTATTGATGATGTACAATGTTTTAAAATGATTTTATTGTGAGTTGTAGTTTTTATGGTATTTATGTTGTTAGCATCCTCTGATGCTCGAGTGAGGCCGCGCTGAGTCCCCCTTGTGGGGAGAAGGGCGGGATATAAATATATGAAATAAATAAATAAATAAACTGGCCACATTGTCCAAATGCCCGATCACCATCTCCCAAAGCCGTTTCTATACTCACAGCTCAAAAACAGAAAACAGAATGTTGGTGCACAGAAAAAGAGATTTAAAGATGGGCTTAAAGCTAATCTTAAAAACTGTGGCATAGACACTGAGAACTGGGAAGCCCTGGCCCTTGAACGCTCTAAATGGAGGTCAGCTGTGACCAGCAGTGCTGTAGAATTCAAAGAGGCACAAATGGAGAAATGGGCCAAGAGGAAGGCGCCTCAAGCCAACCCTGACCAGGACTGCCTTCCACCTGGAAACCGATGCCCTCACTGTGGAAGAACATGCAGATCGAAAATAGGGCTCCACAGTCACCTACGGACCCAGCGCCATGACACTGCACTTGGAAGGCCATCATACTTGGACAACGAGGGATTGCCTAAGTAAGTAAAATAAGATGCACTAATTTTATTGCATACCAGCCTAAGGTTGTTGGAGAAAGGCTGAGGTATATTTTATTGACTATATAATTTTCCATTATTTCTTTTCAATTTATACAGCAAATGAATATAAGTCGGTAAACACTGCCATAATGAAAGTATTATGATATCATAACACACTCAAACTTTATAATATTTACGTAATCATTTTCAGTATCAAACTTTAAAACCATTTGGGCCTCGGGGCATATTTCAGTTCCATTACCAATATGTCATTTAAAAAAAGAAAATAATAAAAGTTATATATTCCTTTTAAAATGAGCTGCAGCTTTTTACTCATTACGTTGTCACTTCTTTCACTTCTTAGGACACCTATATTGGAAGTTTTAATAGTATTCCCATTGCATTTAAAATAACAAATCTAGAGGCCCATATTCAATCAATCTACAGGCCTTTCATTGACTCACAGCCATGATTTCTAAACTCACAACAGACTTTGGGCCCTTCCAGACAGGTCCCAGGATCTGATCCCAGGTTTTCTGTTTATCCCAGATTATCTGGTAGTGTGCACTCATATAATTCAGTTTAAAGCACAAAACCTGGGATCAGATCCTGGGATAAAGGGCCTGTCTGGAAGGGTCCTAAGCCTAAGTACTAATCCATAATACATATGGAAATATTATTTAGTTCCTTACCTCCTTAGCTTGTCCAACCAGTGTCCGTTGATCTCACCAAGCAGATGAGGATCTGCTAAAAACATTGCTTTCAAGACAAAATCCATCTTCTGGCCATCAGCCCTTGGAGACCGACCTTTCAGATGTGGCCAGTGACATCGAATGATGACTATGTAATAAATTAAGAATTCGCAGAAGAGGAATACAGAAAGCGCAAACCACAAAAGTTTCAGAGTAAAAGCACCCCTTTTTCTCCAAAACAACCTGTTTACAACACCCAAGCTCCTCAATGCCATCTCCGTTTACAAGCGGTTTTTTTCTCCCCAGAGATGACACCTATTTGGGATGGCAGGTAAAATAAGCCATTCAAGAAGCTCTTCCTATCAATCAGGAACCCTGCAAGAGGCACAGAAAACAATATATTATAGGTAATGTACTAAACACAGATCTTAAATGTATAGTCACGACTCATTTATACATCCCTATAACTCTAGTATTAAACTGAGAGTACAGAAAAGTGACTGAACACGAAACACTAGAGCTTATATCCAATTGTCCAGCAGACAGATTGAAGCAATGCAATTTAAAAGAGTGTTGGTTTATAAATTTCCTATTGATTAAACTGGTTTACTTTAACTGTAACCAGTAACTGTTTTGTATGTGTTTTAATAGTGTTTTATCTTTTGTTTTAATGATGTTGTACCCTGCCTCAAGCTGCAAGGAGAGGAGGGCAATACAGTTATTATTGTTATTATTATTATTATTATTATTATTATTATTATTATTATTATTTTACTGACACAAAAACACAATATATCACAGCAAATGAGATATATATGCTGGATTTTATATCACAAAATCACAAGTCGAACACTTCCCAAGCATCTAGGACTGTGTGATGTATTATTATTATTATTATTAGGACTGTGTGATGTATTATTATTATTGTTATTATTATTATTAGGACTGTGTGATGTATTATTATCATTATAAGTCTAAGTTACTATAAGACTCAACTACACGTACACCTACATTTAAACTATGCACATAATAATAACAATAATAATAATAATGATAATAAATAATAAATAAATAAATAAAATTGAAAATATGTGTATTTGTTGTGTCCACTTACACAGACAGGTTCCTCCCTCCACAAACAGCCCTAAACTCCTACTCAGGAGACACCAAAGGCCCTCCCTCCAATGACATTTCAGATTATAGTGAGCACCATGAACATGTACAAGAGCCCTGCCAATGTCCTCCAGAAACACCATACTGCCTCTCATACAAGTAAATGCTTTCATCTGGGGGCAATTTCATCCTAGATTTTGTGTTTTTCCTCCACCACAGACATCCCAGTTTCCTTACTCTCAATTGATGTGGAATTTGCATGACTCCGCCCACTGCCTCTCCCATAACCCTTTCCTATATTTTTCTATGGCACATAGGAAACAGGGGAATTTATCAGCAACTGAACATACTAGAAAAGTTTTGGGGAGAAATCACCTTGATTCATAAGAGTTGTAGGTACTAAGATGTATAGTTCTCCTGCAATCTAAGAACTCTGAACTCCACCAACGATGGACCTGGAACTAACTTGATACACAGAAGTCCCATAACCACCTGAAAATACTGCTGGGGTTTGCAGAAATTGACCTTGGTTTTGGGAGTTGTAGTTCACCTGCAGCCAGAGAAATAATGGCCCCTACTGACAATGGACAGGGACCAAACTTGGCACAGAAAAGCCCCATGACCACCTGAACATATTGCAGGGGTTTGTGGGAACTGATCTTGGTTTTGGGAGTTGTAGTTCACCTGCATCCAGAAAGCACTGAAACCAACCAATGATGGATCTGGACCACACTTAACTGTTATTATTTAATATCCCCAAACAAACAATACCTTCTAATAACCCAGGCACTGCTGGGTCCCCAAACTAGTATAAGAATATAAGAAACACATAATGATGTTATACACTGCCTCGAGATGCTGGGAGAAGCGGATAATACATTTTATTATTATTATTTGAAACACAACAAGATTAGTACACAGCAAACAAGATCACTATGCTGGTTGTTATATTGGATCACGTGTTGGAAACTTCCCAAGTGTCTAGGACTATGTGATGTATTGGCAAATAAAGCGTGCACATCCCAGTAAGGTGGCCTTTTGCAGCTGACAGATGGTAATTTTGTCAGCACCGATTGTGTTTAAGTGCAGGCCAAGTTCTTTAGGCACTGCACCCAGTGTGTGATCACCACTGGGACCACCTTGACTGGCTTGTGTCAGTGTCTTTGCAGTTCGATCTTTAAATCCTTGTATTATTATTATGGTCCTAAGTTACATAAGACTCAACTACATGTACACCTGGTCTCTATTACCAGAATTATTTTAAATGTGAGTATGCACACTGGTCCCTGTAAGAATGCTTAAGGAATATCAAAGTGGTCAGCACTGAATTCCACCCTGATCTGCCACATTTTGAAGAAAATACTACACATTAGCTAAGGGTGCATCTACACTGTAGAATTACTGCAATTCGACGTCACTTTAAACTGGCATGGCTGGATGTTAAGGAATCTGGAGACCTGAAATTTGGTGAGACACCCGCAATCTTTGGCAGATTTGTAAAACTACAACTCTTACAATTCCACATACATGGCAGTTACAGAGGTATCAAACTGAATTAAATTCTACAGTGTAGATGCACCCCATGCTGTTAAAAGCAACCAGAGACACGACAATCTCTTCCTGCATACCTGGGGTGTATCTACATGGCAGAATCAATGCAATTTAACATTTCTTCCATAGATTTGTTAAACTAGTGTCAAACTGCGTTAATTCTACAGTGTAGATGCACTCTTGGAAAGGCAGCTCGTCAGCACAAAAGGAAACCATGCCAGGCTCTTAAATTTTGGAAAGCAAAGACAGAAAGGGGAAGCGAGGTCTATCTCACACTCCAAGGTGGCAATACTCACCTTTGCGGGAAGGACAACTGCAACCAAAACAAAGCCATCGCTTGCGAGGCTGGCCAATCAGAAGAACTCTTAAGCGCCTCCCAGCTCCATATGGACTCCGCGCCGGAAGGAATAGACTGCGAAGAAAGTCCTCTGTTTGTGTTGCACGTGCTACGCCTCGCTCCTGCGCCTTGGACGACGCTTCCCGGTTCACCCTCCCGCGCGGCGGAGTGGCTCAGCGCACTCTTCCAGCAGGAGACAGCATCCCTACAGGACCAGGAAATGCATCCGCGGCGAACCAATCGCCTTGCTGCTAGCACCTCTCCACGTTTCCCATTGGCTAACTAGACAGATCCGGAATGTGATTAGCCGCGGAGAGGCCCGCCACTGCAGTGCCGAGCTTTTCTGACAGAGGGCGCTGTTTGTACAGAGTGCGTCCCGAAACCTTAAGGATATCGATGCGAGGAACGCGCAGGATGGCAACACAATATCTGTCGCGGGATCATTTCGCTCCAAGCGGCACACAATATTGTGGGAATGGATTTCAAATGTCAACATTAAAGAGGGGGAGAAGGGTGTCTTGTTGGAGGCAGAGACAGGCGCCCGGAAAGAAAAAAAAGGCATGGGGTGCATCTACACTGTAGACTTAATGCAGTTTGACACCACTTTAACAGCTATAGAATCTTGGAGGTTGTAGCTTGGCGCTCTTTCAGAAGACTTAGGGTTTTTCCAGGCAAGCCATATATCCCAGGTTTTCTGTTTATCCCAGATTATCTGGCAGTAGGGACTCATATAATCCAGTTTAAAGCAAACCTGGGTTCAAATCCTGCGATATAGGGCCTGTCTGGAAGGGTCCTTTGGGCCTTGTGAAACTATGACTCCCAGGACCCCTTAGCACTGGCATTTAAAGTGGTGTCAACATTCATTAATGCTGCGGTATAGAAGGGGCCCCCTGGTGGTGTAGCGGGTTAAACCACTGAGCTGTTGAACTTGCTGACCAATAGGTCGGCAGGATGAGCTCCCACTGTTAACGCCAGCTTCTTCCAAGCTAGCAGTTCAAAAACATGCAAATATGCGTAGATTAATAGGTACCGCTTCTGTGGGAAGGAAACCCTCCACGCAATCATGCTGGCCAGGCAACCTTGAGTGCATGATATAATACAAGTTGTTTTATGGGAAAGTACTTTTTTGGGCACTGATAAAAAAAACACTTGTAAACCTCTGCTGTTTTTGTGCACCGGCAAATCTCTGTTTTTCTGACAGATCAGAGATTGCTGGTTATTCAGTCTAACAACTAAAACCATTGCCTAGCATAATTATATTTGGTTACATACCACAAGAGGACATTCTGTTCTAAAGGGTTTTTGGCTCTTCTCTAGAAGGCCATGCTCTCTAATAGAGGCTACTGTTCATGACATCATAGCTGCTTGTATGGCCTTTTTGTTTGCCTACCTGAGATTACAAGGGCCAATAATTTAATTCTGCTGGTCTCTATGCAGGAGACAAAGCTCAGAAAAGGAATACATTGGCAAAGGCATCTAGTTTTTGTGGCAGATAAAAGCTTTGATTCTGGTCAGTTGGCTTCTCAGCAAAGATGATACTCAAAATGCCAGTTTGACAGGGATCAGCTTGGCAAAACAATTCTTTATGTTGTCGAAGGCTTTCATGGCTGTGAGTTTTCCAGGCTGTATGGCCATGTTACAGAGCATTCTCTCCTGGCGGTTCACCCACATCTATGGCAGGCATCCTCAAAGGTCCTCAATCTCTGAGAATGCCTGCCATAGATGTGGGCAAAATGTCAGGAGATAATGCTTCTGGAACATGGCCATACAGCCCAGAAAACTCATAACAACCCAAAATAATAATTAATTGTGCCTTTGCTCACATAATTTCTTTTGTAATTTTTCAGATACTCAGAAACTATACAAGAGTCAATGGGGTCAAAAACTATTGAAGGGTCCAGCAAAACAACACCATCGCTATCCATTTCCTAGTATTGATAGTCTACCAAGGTGATCAAATCAGTCTCTACCCCATATGAGCCCTGAAGCCAGGAACCAAGGTGCCACATGCATAAAAGCATGTGAACATTAAATCTGTTTCCAAATTTTCCATGACAGAGGATGAAGTTCAAATATGGTTTATACTTTAAGTAGTTATCTCACTACTCTCCATATTGCAGATGTCATAGAATTATTGCCTGCCACAGACATTCACAACAACATTAATCAGGTGTATTTAACAGTCAAGCTGTACATAATGTCCCATAAACAGCAGACATGGGCAAACTTGGGCCCTCCAGGTGTTTTGGACAGTAGGCTGTTAGAAATTGTGGGAGTTGAAGTCCAAAACATCTGGACAGCCCAAATTTGCCCATACCTGATATATAGCATACTGCCGAGGTTCATTCTTTTAAATTCTGCATTAAACTGTTTGGCCCCAAATTCAAATGAAGATCAGCACACTGACTCATTTAATGCTAAACCGCAGCATTACATTTCAACCAGCACCCAATGTGTTAAAGGTATACAGCAAAATAATTAAATTGTACAAATCATGCAAGGACTAAAAACTACTCCCAAGTCATGATTTTATTTAAAAACACTTCTTCATATACAGTAGTTAATTTTACAGAATACACTCAGTTTATTCAGAATCTTGGTTGAAATCTTCACTTCTACAAACCTATACGATGATTTCCAGCTACTAAAGCTGAGGTAAGACTAATTCCATAGGTTGAACTTACTTGTTTCAAACATCTTTCATACTGAGTATTCAGCTTTATGGCTTCTTGAAGAGCATATTTTAAGTCCTCGACTTCATCAAAAAAATCCTGAAAGGTAATTTTGCACAGTCTTATTGAAACTGCACTTCTGAATTATATGAGATATCGTAGTTTGTCCTGTCTTGCATTTCATGACTGAAGAATTTACAATGATCAACAAATATTTGCAAATGCAAGAAGGAAATTTAATTTACATAGGTCAAATATCATTCTCTTTAGCGACTAAGAAATCAAGAATGTTCACATTTTGATCTCTGGAAGCTTTTATTAACTCCAGTGCATAGTAGCTTTGTTTTGAATTTTTGTGTTGTCGAAGGCTTTCCGGGCCGGAACCACGGGGTTGCTGTGAGTTTTCCGAGCTACATGGCCATGTTCCAGAAGCATTTTCTCCTGACGTTTCATCCACATCTATGCAGGCATCCTCAGAGTTTGTGAGGTTTGTTGGAAACAAGGCAAGTGGGGTTTATTAAACAATCAGTGCCAACTAATCACCTCAAAGGATCTCCCCAGGCAAAAAGCTGCAAAGCTATTCAATCCTAACCAAGGTGATCAATTGCAGCATTCACACTTGCCTCAAGCAGACAAGAGTTCTTTCTCCCACCCTGGACATTCCACAGAGATATAAACCCCACTTGTCATGTTTCCAACAAACCTCACAACCTCTGAGGATGCCTGCCATAGATGTGGGCAAAACGTCAGGAGAGAATGCTTCAGGAACATGGCCATACAGCCCGGAAAACTCACCGTAATCCTTTTGTATTTTTGCTTTTTATTTTGAGGGAAGCAGAAAACATTCTGCTGAATTTATTGAAAAGACTTCATTCTGGCCAAATTAGCAATGTAGCGTTTTACTTCAATTATGGAAAAAGCCTTCTATAAGATAACCAAATTAAGAAGAGAGAAAAAAACACAAATTGGCCAGACTAAGCAGTTTGAGAAAATATTTTAACTAACATGTATATAGAGGGTCCATAAGTACCAAGCTATATTTTGGACTTCTGATGAGCCACAAACAGCATTTTCTGATGTGCAATCTACCTTTTATCTATTATTACACACTAGACTCAGGTCTGCTGATTTCAAGCAATGAATGTAATAGAAAGCTGCATGCCCACTGTTAAATATACAAACTGTTCTCCCACCAAACCAACAGTATCCATTCTGAATCTGCTTGGAAGGAAGAGTATAACTGAAGCCCTAATCTCCCAGTATTTATTTACCTATATACTTGGGTATAAACCGACCTGAATATAAGCCAAGACATCTAATTTTACCACAAAAACTGGGAAAATGTATTGACTCAAGTATAAGCCGAGGGTGGGAAATGCAACAGCTACTGCTAAATTTCAAAATAAAAATAGAGACCAATAAAATTACATTAATTGAGGCATTAGTAGGTTAAATGTTTTTGAATATTTACATAAAACTGTAATGTAAGATAAGACATTCCAATTCTGATTAAACCATTATTCTAACCTTCAGTGTAAATGTGTTTAAGTATCCTTCCAATAATAATAGAGTAAAATAATAAATGTAATAATAATAATCATAATAATAATAATGGAAATAATGGAAATGTAATAACAGTAATAATAGAGTAAAACAATAAATGCAATAATAATAATAATAATAATAATAATAATAATAATAATGACAAAGCAAAATAATAAATAACCTTGACTCAAGTATAAGCCGAGGGCTGAAAAACTCGGCTTATACACAAGTATATACAGTACACTATGTAACAAAATCTGAAAAAAAAACTGTTCCTGGTTTGAAAATGCTATTTCTGTTTAATTATGCAGTACTTACTTTGAAAGTTGTTATTATTATTATTATTATTATTATTATTATTATTATTTCTGAAAGTAGTTGTTATACTCCAGAAACTTTGCCTTTGTGGCTGCCGCAAACTACGTTAAATTGGTTGAAACTCAATGAGATATTTATTAAAATACTATAGCAAAATGGGCTGCAGGATGTCCCGCAAAACCTTTTTCCATGTTTTAATCATAGAACCAACTAGGAAATGATATTTATAACCCAGGAATAAAAATCGTGTTACAAAGTGTTATTTAAGACAGTGCAAATGCTGTAAGTTACCTTATCTAAAGCTGCAAGCTCATTTCTCAACATTCTTCTTTCTTTAGATATTGTTTCATTTTCCATCTTCAAACGCTGAATCTCAAAAAGTAATTGATCTAATTAAGAAAACAATTCTCTTTAAAGTCAAGAACTCAATATGTACTTCAATAATAAAACTTTACATAGTCATGCTTTTAGCATGTGAGTCTATCTGTCAACAAAATAATACTGTTCTCAGGCCCCTTCCACACACCTGAATAAAATCCCACATTTTCTGCTTTGGCAGTTCCCCCTCGATGGACTGTCACCTTGTCATGGTGAGGGGGCTTGTGTGTTCCAATGAACCTGTGGGCACAACAACTGGAGTCGTGCACTCCCAGGAGTGGCCGCGGAGGAGGTTACAGACCAAGCACAGTCCGAAGACCCAAACACCTCAACCGCGGAGCAGGCGGAGGATAACATGGTACATGTTACAATGGCTGTGAAGGCGGAAGAAGACTGCAACAGATTGAGAAGCCACAGTCATTGTGTTAAACTACACTACCAGTGGAACCTCACTCTGTGAAGACTGTGTGTTGATCAGTTGTGCACTGACCTCCACACACTAAAAAAAATTCATGCACAGGCGTCTTCCAAAGAAAATAAAAACAAGCCAAACAAAGTCCCATGGCGATCAGCGAGTGACGACGGGGGCAGGACTGTGAAATCTGGAAGCCCCTAGTCGCAGACTGGCACATGGGCAGTGGATACGGACTCAGTCGTTCTACCTCAAGGTCCAAAGCAGTTGAGTAGTTCGGCGGCTGTATCCATGACTGACCAGCCCTTTTGAGGATCCACTCTGCTCACCCCACACGGAGAAGGGGCTAGAAAAGGTGCTCTAAACATAGTCTGCCTCTCTTATCCCTGACTGGACTACCGCATCCAATGGGGTCACTACCCTGCGGCCAAAAAAGAAAAATGAACTTCGGAACATGGAATGTATGGACACTGATGGACAACAGTGACAGTGAATGCCCCGAACGCAGCACTGCTATCATTGCAAGGGAGCTGGGATGTTTTAACATCAACATAGCAGCCCTTCAGGAGACCCGGAGAGCAGGAGAGGGACAGCTGAAGGAAGACAAAAGAGGCTACACCTTCTTCTGGAAGGGACTGCCTGAAGAAGACCAATGAATGCATGGAGTTGGCTTTGCTATCAGAAATGATCTGGTGAAACATCTGACCGAAGCACCCACTGGCATCAACTAACGACTCTCTACCCTCCGAATTGAACTTGCCAAAAACCAACAGGCAACCATCATAAGTGCCTATGCACCAACACTAGATGCTGATGAAGGCATCAAGGAAAACTTTACTGTCAGCTGGACACCGTCCTATCGGAGATTCCTAAGGAGGACAAAATCATCCTCCTGGGGGACTTTAATGCAAGAGTCGGTCGAGACTTCGACCTGTAGCCAGGGACCATAGGAAAAGACGGGGTTGGAAACAGCAACTCAAATGGCCTCCTGCTTCTCATCAAATGTGCGGAACACAACCTTGTCATCACCAACATGCTCTTCCGCCATAAAAACAAATTCAAGACATCATGGAAACACCCCCGGTCAAAGCATTGGCACCTCTTAGACTACGTAATCACACGTGCCAGAGACCGCTGTGACATGCTTCTCACAAGAACCATGACAAGTGCTGACGACTGCTGGACAGACCACAGGCTAATCCGATCCACGATGGCTATCAAGATCGCCCCCAAGCGCAGACTCCAAGGAAGAAAGACAAGGTGAAAAATGAACACCCAAGCCCTTGCAGCGATGGTCCTCCGCCATCAACTCTGCTGGACTGGCCATGTTGTCCGGATGCCCGACCACCATCTCCCAATGCAGTTGCTCTATTCCGAATTCAAGAATGGAAAACAGAATGTTGGTGGGCAGGAAAAGAGATCTAAAGATGGGCTCAAAGCCAATCTTAAAAACTCTGGCATAGACACTGATAACTGGGAAGCCCTGCCCCTTGAGCGCTCCAGTTGGAAGTCAGCTGTGACCAGCAGTGCTGTAGAATTTGAAGAGGCATGAATGGAGGGCGAAAGTAAGAAATGTGCTGACGACTGCTCAAGCCAACCCTGACGAGGACAGCCTTCCACCTGGAAAATGATGCCCTCACTGTGGGAGAAGATGCAGATTAAGAATAGGGCTCCACAGTCACCTACGGACCCACCGCCAGAACATCGACCTTGAAGGACCATCATCCTCCGACTACAAGGGATTGCCTAAGTAAAGTAAGTAAGTATATGGCAGTTGGACTCAGATAAGCCTGTTCAAAGGAGATATTGTGGGATTTTCTACCTTGATATTCTGGGTTATATGGCTGTGTGGAAGGGCCCCCAGCTCCACTGTATCCTCGTTTCAACCCTGCCAGTTAGGTTAGGATGAAGTACTGCAATAGATCTAAAGTCACCCAATGAGAATTACAATTAAGACAGAAGGATCAGAAACCATATGAAATGATCAACCATAGTATGATCCTATTTAAATCGCATCAATGGTCAGGGTTTCTCAAATGTAGATTAAAAACTGTTCTGCACATTATGGAAGGTTCCAATCTCTTCTCCTTGAGCAGCGCTGGAGGTATAATGAATGGGAATTGCCAAGGGCCAATGCATTAAGAAGAGAGAGTATGTAAACACAGGATTACCTAAATATTTACAGGAACAGGTCCCCTTCCTTTTGCACATACATTTGTGAGATGATATTTTCTTCAGCAGAACGGTTTTCTCCTTTTTTAACTTTTTATTTTCCAACTCCTTTACTTTTTGGTTTGCTAAACTTAGTTGGTGTTCCAGATCATCAATTTTAACCTGTGATATAATAATACAAGTTAACCATGACAAATAAAACGAATATGACCCCAAGCACCCTTGGACTGATTCAAAGCTACAAATGTTTACTTGCATCAGAATTTAGCAAAATAAAAGTGACAGAAAAAATACAAGATGAAAAGTGAAATGGAAATGTGAAGTCGCATTCTAATCAATCTTTATGTATCTTAAGAGTAGACACCTTGAAAACACAAGAGTTAGTAGCGGTGGCTTAAACTGCATTTATTTTGAGTAAGGATTCATTTACACTAGCTTTAAACTGCAGCGACCAAACAAAAAAGTCCCATAAAAGTAGTGCTTCCCAACCTGTGGTCCAGTGGCTTTCAAGAATTAACATATGGTCCGCGGCCTCACCGTTACTACACTGTTGCAGCTTGAGCAACTGGACTCTGCTACTGATATTTTATTTGTATTCTGTAATTGTATTCTATAACAACAAGACACGTGTACTAAAAATACAACAAGACACGTGTACTAAAAATCAGTTGCATTGAGGTTAGATTACTCAGGGATGCTCATCATCAAGAGTGAGGAAAACTTTAATATTCTTCTAAAATGTATATAGTTTCAGATTTATGATTGTCTAGGACAGTGTTTCTTAAACTGTGCTCCTCCATTGTTTTGAACTTCAGCTCCCACAATTCCTAACAGCTGATAACCTGTCTGGGATTTCTGGGAGCTGAAGTCCAAAACACCTGAAGGAACAGAGTTTGAGTAACACTCGTCTAGGGCTAGACAGTGCCATAGGTAGCTACAGAAAAGACCAACCAAACTTCCTTAAGGAGGTGTTCCACTTTTTAGTTGGCAGAGGCATTGTACTTTTATGTTTGAAATGTTTTAAACTATTTAAAATTAGTACTGTTTCTTTTAAATACAGTATTGCAATGATTTTTAACTGCATTTTGCTTAAATCTACATAATGAGTTGCACCGTCTCTCTCACTCGAAAAAAGGCAGGACATCAGTTAAACAAATACATATATAAATAACATAATTTGATCAAAACTTACAGAAAGTATTGCAATGTTTTCATTTTGTCGTTGGTTTGTTTTGATTTCCTTATTATACCTTTTCCTTAAATTATTATACATCTGGACTACTCTGGAAAAAAAGATGTGCAACCATGAGAAAGAATAAATTGTTTTCAAGATACAGATAAGCAAATGTTTGTTAACACTCATGAATGGAAGGCATCTAGCAGCAGCCTTGCTGGATTCCAGTTACTCAATGTAAAGGTTTTCCTTGTTTCCATTTTAGGTTATGAATTCATATATGGCATAAATGAAGACGCTTAGGACATTGAGGTAGTGAGGATGGCAAAGGATTAAGCTATAAAGAGATCCAAAGAGGCTTTCAATAATATCCACAAAATAATTAGCTACCCTGATAATTGTTCTCAGCATGTCACAGCAAGATTATTTAGTAAGGGTCCTTTAAAAGAAAATGCTGTAATTCACAGCATCATAAATAATAATAATAACAATAATAGACAAATCAACTGCCTAAAACATCAGGTTACAAAAGCTACATTCATATTTCAGAAATCAAAGAGCAATGCTTCTGATATCTTTAGGCTGCAGTCCTATGCATTTTTTGTTGAGAATACATCCCATGGAATGCAATTACGGCACCTTCCACAATGCTGAATAAAATTCCACATCTGCTGTGAACCGGATCATATGGCAGTGTGGACTCAGGTAACCCAGTTCAAAGCAGATATTGTGGGGTTTTCTGCCTTGATATTCTGGGGACATTTCCATACAGCCATATAACACAGAATATCAAGGCAGAAAATCCCTCAATATCTGCTTTGAACTGCGTCATCTAAGTCTATACTGCATATATTCCAGTTCAAAGTAGAAAATGTGGGATTTTATTCAGCTGTGTGGAAGGGCCCTACATTCTCTGAAGAAACGTACATTTAATGAGAAATACATTACAACCTTCAAGGTAAAGCTTACCTTGCGTTTTCCTTTATTAGTTCACGTTCCTTGTGGTGAATCCCATCACCTTTATGGTATAAGTGAACATCTGTTTGAACTGATGCACTAAATTAAACAAGGACAATGACTTTAAAATTGGTAATTTGAGTTATATTTTGCGAAAACAATGGCACATTTTATGTAAACAGATTCACCTATCATTATTAAGGGTTTTCTTCTTTTAAAGGATAAATCCATCCATATAGAAATGCTTTTAAAAGGTTAATCACAGAAAAGTGACAAGGGAATTCATCAACTCATAACTGATTACAGCGAGATAAACCACTCCTTCATAACTGCTCTCGGTCCTACTGCCACTGCTCTCAGTCCCATCGCTGTCGCGTTTTGTGGGAACGAGAGACAGGGCCTTCTTAGTGGTAGCCCGTCGGCTGTGGAACTACCTCCCTAATGAGATCAGACCTGCCCCCTCTGTCATGATCTTCCAGAAACTCAAATCCTGGTTATGGGATGAAGCTGTCACAGAATAGACTGATTTAATGGACTGTTTTTAGCTGATGGCAAAGGATGAATTTGGAAGACGATGTGAAACGGCTGTTTTAATGTATTGATAATTATTTTAATGTATGCTAAATGTATATTATGCTTTGTTTTTATGGTACGGGACCGAATGGTGCCTGTTGGTAGACATCCTGAGTCCCTCTTCAGAGGTGAGAAGGACGGGATAGAAATGCTCCTAATAAATAAATGCTGGTATGTCCTGAATACATCTCATGGTATGTTCTGGTCCTGTATACATATTACTACTACTGTTGTTGTTCATTCATTCAGTTGTTTTTTACTCTTCGTGACTTCATGGACCAGCCCATGCCAGAGCTCCCTGTCGGTCGTCAGAGCTCCCTGTCAGTCGTACCCTGTCGGTAGTAATACTACAACTACTACTACTAATAATAATAATAATAATAATAATATGTATATTACATGTAATATTACTAATAATATTACACTATAATAGTATAGTACAATATAGTAATATATATTACTAATATTGTGCTATGGTAATAATATATTGTATTTACATATTACTTGTAAGCCGCTCTGAGTCCCCTTCGGGGTGAGAAAGACAACAAGAAAGACCTGGATGTTCGAACAGGCGTTCGGTTAATTCGGTACAATGAATTTGATGACTAAAGGATTGGTAATATGGACGATGAAATTGGATTGCGATTTTAGTTAAGAGATGCATTGGATTGTTATTGATGGGCCAATATTGTGTATTGTGTATGTTTTTTATGGTTTTTAAACTGAATATTGTTGATTGTTGTATTTTGTTGTAAACCGCGTTGAGTCGCCAATTTAGGCTGAGAAACAGCGGTATACAAGTACAGTAATAAAATAAATAAATAAATAAATAAATAAATACATGTCGTAAATAAATAATATTTTTAATTAACACCCTTGGGGCTGTAAGTGCTAATTGTTGACAGGACTAGTTTAATGTTCCAAAATTGACAAGTCTGTTAATCATATAACTTCCACCAAATGTGGCTAACAGAGTCTACTGCAGTTCTGCTCATAACGCAGCCTCCTAGTCTGACTTTTGTACGCTTAACATGCTTTGCTTACTTTTTCTGTGTAACACAGGCAGGCAGTAACCTTTTTTGCTCACAAAGTTCTTCTTCTAACTTCACCAAGTTACCCTCCAGTTGCTTGTTCTTTAAGCGAGCGTGCCGCAGTTTTTTAAGCAGCAGTTCATTTTCTTGATAGAGCTGGAAAAGTAAGGTATTTTACTAAGCACAAAATAGGTGATTACCAAGCACAAGAAAATAACAATCACTGTGTTAGACCAGACCAAAGCCCTATCTAGTCCAGCATTGTGTTCTCGCCATGGCCAACTGTATACCGGTTCTGAAGAGCACATAAATGCGCCTGAAGAACACATAAAACCCGGGCCATAGTTTTTAAATGTGTCATGATGTTATTGTCTTAATGTTTTACTGTTTTTGCTTTAATGCTTATTGGTTTGCTTTATGAATTTTATTGTTGTATTTGTTATGCTGTTGTTTTATTGAGGGCCTTGGCCTTTGTATTCCGCACCGAGTCCTTTGGGAGATGTTAGCGGGCTACAAATAGTTAATAATAATAATAATAATAAATGCCACTTTCTGGGGCTTCAATGTTATTTTAATACTTTAAGGATGCCCTTTGTTTAATCCTTTCCACAAAACATACCATACACATATCATTCCCTATAGGGCAAGCATGGGAAAACTTGGGGCCTCCGGTGTTTTGGACTTCAACTCCCACCATTCCAACAGCCTCAGGTCCCTTCCTTTCCCTGAGGGGAAAAAGGAAAGGGCCTGAGGCTGTTAGGAATGGTGAGAGTTGAAGTCCAAAACACCTGGAAGGCCCAAGTTTGCCTATGCCTGTATATGCTGCTGTTTGTGTTGTTTCATAGCCCTATTTCCTGGTATTTTAACTGTATTGTGGAGTTCTCTCTCAGTCAAAAAGGCCTGCAAGGCCCACAACCAGAGCTCTGTGGCTTGGCCACTCACTTGGCGGCTCCTCTGGATGGAGGGCACAGCCATCCGCCTGCCCTCAACCGCCTCCCAAACCGAATAGAGGCCAAACATCCGGTTTGGAGCAAGGCTTTCCCTTCTCCACGCCCCGAAAGAGCGCCGCAGCCAATCAGGTGGAAGGGGCGGGGCTTGACAGTTGGCCCTCGCGCCCGGCTTTCCGAGCAATCCTTCGCGTTCAGAACCCAAGAAGAAAGGCCCCTACGCCCGGGCTGCCTAACGCAGTGCCTGCTACGTGCTAGTTCGCCTAATGAACGCAGCACGAATTGAGAGGATCTTTTCTGCTGCTTAGGAAATATTTTTAAGCGCAGCCTCCTCAAGTTGGGATTTTCAAACCGTTTATAACCGGATAGTTTGTGATGATAATATTTTGACGTCATCAGTAGGCGACTCACTCACTCAAGAGAGGCTGCTTCAAAGTTACCATGGTTACGGGCCACTGATTTGCTTCTCAGCGATTGATTGCAGAGCTCTTCGCTTTCTCCTGAAGCAGGGAAGACGTAACAAAGGCTTACGTAGAGATTTTGGAGCCCATGCAGAGAATTTACACGCACACAATTGACGAGATTTGAACATAATTCTGCACCATCTCTGGGCCCTTCCACACAGCCCTGTAACCCAGAATATCAAGGCAGAAAATCCCACATAATCTGCTTTGAACTGGAATATAAAGCAGTGTGGATTCAGATAACCCAGGTCAAAGCAGATATTGTGGGATTTTCTGCCTTAATAGAAATAAAGCCCGACTGCTCATTGGAGGGAAGAACAGTAGAGGCCAAGATGAAGTACTTTGGCCACATCATGAGAAGAAAGGAAAGCTTAGAGAAGACAATGATGCTGGGGAAAATGGAAGCAAAAAGGAAGAGGGACCGACCAAGGGCAAGATGGATGGATGGTATCCTTGAAGTGACTGGATTGACCTTGAAGGAGCTGGGGGTGGTGACAACCAACAGGGAGCTCTGGCGTGGACTGGTCCATGAAGTCACGAAGAGTCGGAAACAACTGAATGAATGAACAACAAAAGGGCTGTGTGGAAGGGCCCCCAATTAGCTGCTTTGAGTTGGATTATCCTAGGGCCCTTCCACAGAGCCCTATATCCCAGAATATCAAGGCAGAAAATCCCACAATATCTGCTTTGAACTGGGTTATCTGAGTCTACACTCAGATAATGTGGGATTTTCTGCCTTCGTATTCTGGAATATAAGGCTGTGTGAAAGGGCCCTGAGTCCACATTGCCATATATTCCAGTTCAAAACGGATATTGTGGGGTTTTATTCAGCTGCGTGGAAGGGGTCTCTGAAATGGAATGCTGGAAATAGGCAACCATCTCAAGCGTCCTCTGATGATTTGTCTATATATAATGTGCCYTTTCAGTGCTGAAGTGTATGTGTYTTCTTTAGTATGCAATTTTTCCTAACTCTATGTTCTTGAGGTTMTGGGAGGGGCTGAAGACCATGCAACCAGATCAGGGACTGTTTAGAACAGGGGTCCTCAAACTAAGGACCGAGGGCCAGATATAGCCCTCCAAGGTAATTTACRGGGCCCTCGCTCAGGGTCAAACTAAGTCTGATATGACTTGAAAGRGCACACAAAACAACAACAACAATCCTATCTCATCAGCCAAAAGCAGGCCCACACTTCCCATTTAAATACAAATAAGTTTATATTTGTTAAAATTGTTCTTCATTTTAATTATTGTTTCAAAGGGTTTTTTTTGTTTGCACTATAAATGAAATATGTGCAGTATGAATAGGAATTAATGTTTTTTTCAAATTATAATCCGGCCCTCCAACAGTTTGAAGGACTGTGACTTGGCCCTCTGTTTAAAAAGTTTGAGGACCCCAGGTTTAGAACAGAGTTAAAGGATGACAGTCGGAAGTAGAGTTATAAAGGAGAGTTGCACAGAGCTGTATAGTGTTGAAGGGACTGATAAATATTTAAAGTTAAAGACGCAAACTGAAACATTTTAAAGTTTAAACTAATAAGAAATGTACCTGTGTATTTAAATACACGAAGTTGTGAGTAAAACAAGCATGTTATTTTAAAGAAGTCTACTTGAATGTTTGTTTCCTGAGAGCATGAAATAGAAACAAGATATTTATGGGACAGTAGATTTTTCTAACACTAAACAACATTTCTGAAAATCTATCTATCTATATATATGCGCATAGGCATATTCTCTGTTCCTAGAGTAATAGTTCAGAGTCACTTGGAAATCAGTCTAGCTGCTGAAAACCAATTGCCAAGCACAAATACACATTGTAGGGAACTATTTCAATCAGCAATAGCTGGTGATAAAGAAAAGCAAACAGTCTCTGTGAAGTAAAGAAAAAATTACTTTATTTTCAAGTGTGGCCACACCGGACAGATCAGCCCAGACAATCTAGTGTCTTCAAAAAGCTGTCTGTGTCATTTAGACTTCTCAGTCCCTTCTTATACATTTTTCCTGCTGTGACATTAAACAAATCCTTCCCATTCCAGAACAGTCTTTCAAAAACATGTTTTTTCACCTTCTTGTTACTTCGGCACCTCTAAAACTGATAACCACCTACACACTTAGAGCAAACATACATGTTATGACTTCGGTTGTTCATTGGTTGTTTATGATTTTGATTGACATTATAGCACACGTAAGATCCTAACAATGGCACAACTATAGTACAACTATAGTCTATTGTTCTCTGACCATGACTGTATCTTATTTGTTAGTCTGTTGCAAATATGGCTCCAGAGCAACTGGGAAACTTGAGGGTTCTAACTAGCCACCCACTAGCTGGTTTTGTCCGGATTTACTGTTATCCTTGAATAGTAACTTCTTCTCTCGAGCATTGATTTCTCAAACAATCAGCATTTTCTGTAAACATAGGCCTACTGCAGAAATAGGCCATTATGTCAGTAAATCATGATATATAGGCATTGGGAACATCTATGAAAATTCCATTTTTAAAACCATGTCCCCTCTAGGAGAAGCCCAACTGAACATTCTATGGCAGTTAGTGAATCAGCTGGAGGCAGTCTATGAGAGTTCGTCAGTGAGTTAGGGTCTGGAAGGAAGTAGCCGAAAAGCATCTGGAAGATTGATCAAGGGAATAGGATAAAGATAGTGTCAAGTTTTATCTATATATATAAAAATGCTCTGTGCGTCATGAATACCTTAAAAACAAAAGAACCAATGAACAAAATCACACCAAATTTGGCAACAAAACATCTCACAACACAAGGAGTGACCATCACTCAAAAATATGCTTTTGTCATTTGGGAGTTGTAGTTGCTGGGATTGTTCACCTACAATCAAAGAGTATTCTGAACCCCACCAACGATGGAATTGAACCAAACTTGGCACACAGTTCTCCCATGACCAACAGAAAATATTGGAAGGGTTTGGTGGGCAGTGTCCTTTGGTTTTGGAGTTGTAGTTCGCCTACATCCAGAGAGCACTGTGGACTCAAACAATGATGGATCTGGACCAAACTCTACACGAATACTCAATCTGCCCAAATGTGAACACTGGTGGAGTTTGCGGAAAATAGAATCTTGACATTTGGGAGTTGTAGTTGCTGGGATTTATAGTTCACCTACAATTACAGAGCATTCTGAATCCCACCAATGATAGAACTGGGCCAAACCTCCCACACAGAACCCCCATGTGGGCCACAGCAATGCGTGGCAGGGGACAGCTAGTGTATTAATAGAAAAGTACTTTTGGGGAAAAAGGAATAGATTGAGGGAAACTCATGTTGAAACATTGTTCTGTAAGCAGCAACCATTTGATCCTATGTAACCACTAAACTTATACCACAAGAATGCAACAAATAAACTGAGTTACTGTTTCATCATAAACAAAGCCTCTCTCTCAATCTCGCGGTTAGAGATCTCTCTGTGCTTTCATTTCAAATGGTGGCAAGCGGTAGGATGATAAAATAAAAGGCTCCCCTGCCTGAAGATTTGGGTTTGTTAGTTTGTTTGTTTTTTTATATATTTCATTTCATATGGCAGTGGAGATTCATATAAATTCAAAGGAGATAATGTGGATGATCTGATTTGATAATTTGGATTATATGACAGTGTCGAAGGAGCTTGAGAAAGCCACTATGATAGTTAAACAGATTGGAGGACGCTCTGCATAGCGTAGCAATCATATTTATTCATGCTTGTATTAGAAAAATACTATGATTATTGCTTATTTTCAACTAAACATTATCATAGTCCCCCTTTCCAAAGAAATTACACAAATACTTTAGACAAATAGAGACCCCTTCTACACTGCCATATAATCCACATTATCAATTATTTATTTATTTATTTATTTACAATTATATTCTGCCCTTTTCACCCTGAACGGGACTCAGAGCGGATCACAGAACACATATACGGCAAACATTCAATGCCGTTAAACAGACAGGACAGACAACAAATAAAGGAATGTACGAGGGTTATCCAGAAGATAAAGTTACACGTTTAAAAAAATACAAAGAATTAATATAGTTTAATAAAACTTACATGCATTGTAGCATAGGTATTACATTATTTTTCTACATAATCACCGTTCAGTTCAATACATTGTCATCTGTGGGACAAATTTTTGATGCCTGTGTCACAGAAGTTTCCCTCTTTTTTCAGCCAGTTCATCACTTTGATTTTCACCTCATTGTCATCGGAAAAGCGTTTTCCACCAAGGTGTTCCTTCAATTTAGTGAACAGATAATAGTCACTGGGTGCGAGATCAGGGCTATGAGGGGGATGGCTTAAAACATCCCAGCCAAATGAAGTCAACAATTTTTGTGTTGCTTCACCAGTCCAGTCCACAGCTTTAGCTCTTGTTTTTTTATAGGTGAGTGCAAACACATTCTTACTTGCAATAAATGGTTCAGTTATATTTTTCTAAATCTATTGTTAATTTGCCATCACTGTATAGAACTGTACATTGTTAAAAGTCTCTTCAAATCAATTCTGCTTATGTTAACTCAGAAATAATGTAATTGAATGAAACTCAACTGCTCCTCAAATTAATGAAACTTAACAGTACTTGCAGAAAGCCATAGCGTTGTCACTGATTAATTAATAGGATTAATCCAATTAGTTGCACACACAAAGTACCTGCATGGGTTGGTCAACTAGACTGTGTATTTAAACAGAAAAATTAGTTCCATTTTCATTGACGCATTATTCTAAGAATTTTGAAAATCTGTGAGATTATCTGGGTTTTTTTGAAAGAGCTATAGACAATAGCACATTTTGTAGTGTAAAAAAGATAAGAATGGCAAATCTGTCTGGGGATCTCTACGCTGATTTCCGTTTACAGATGGTTTACCTTTCTGTGACCCCAGGATTGGAAAAAAAAAGATCTCTAAGTTGGCTGCAATGTGCTGCAGATGACACAGAAAGCGCTGTCATTTTTGTTCAGCACAGCAGCCTAGCATAGCACAGGAAATTAATGTGAATACCTTGTCAGTTAAAATAAGATGTACATCCATTATGGTTTCAGTCATCCAGAAGAAAAGTTGCTCTGTCTTTTAAGACATTTTTGCTGAAATTATAAAACACTGTCCAGTGATTTTTTTCAAAGAACAAAAGCAAAACACTACTGGACATAATCTCCTCCCACACTGCTGCCCTCTTTTTCTTTTGTGTCATGTCTTAACCAGATTATAAATCTGAGAGCAGGGAATTGTTTTGTTGTTCTTTTACTTGTAAAGTGATGGGGCTATATTAATTAATTATAATGGCAACCATGTTGATGAATTGTAACCAAAGACACTACTCAGCATCTACAAATTTATCACATTTGATGGCTAAACAGATTCCAGCAATCAGGTATTATGCTGGTAATTTATTTTTTATTTTACTCATGACTCTTAATTAAACTACAGGTTACTATTTGTTATGGCAATCCAGAAAGCAGACCACTAGATTAGCCATTGCTAGTGCTTTTCTGTGTTGAATGCAATATTTAAAAGGATGCAAAATGCTCTGTGATTTTGCCAGATGAACAATTCAAATACTGCACCTTGGAAATTCTCGGGAAAATGCAGAAGGCATTGTGTAGCAATCCTTTTTTAGCCTTGGCATTGTGTAGCAATCCCTTGTTGCCTTGGATTACAACCATACATAATAGCATTGGAGATGAGATTTATTGTCCCAGCTCCAAAAGAACATGCCAAGTTGTGACAAGCACTGTGTAGTTGGGGGAAAATATTAAGTTATTCATCTATGTTACCCTCAAACATTAAGTTGCCTTTTTATAATGGTGTATGTTTAATAAACACCCTAATGTTTCAAACAACATCTGGAGAAAAGTACCCATCACAGATAAAAACAATTATAAACAAGAATGGAGGTTTCACATTATAGTCAAACCAGATTTTATCATTCTGTGAGAAATGTTTACAGAAGTTAATGTTTTGCCTACAGTTGACTTTTGTTCTAAGAAGATATATACTAGATTTTATATGTCTGCCAGTTGTTATGGATTTATCTTATCCTGCATCGAGTTCCCTTGTCATATTATGTTCTGAGGTCGTGATCCCTGTAATTTGGCTTTTTTTGTCATTTTTATTTATTTACTTTAAGTTGTGGTATTTCATTCAGTTTTGTTTTGGGATTCTCATTCAATACTTATTCACATTGGCTGAAAATATAATTATCATTCATGTTACAATATTCTATAGCATCCTTTTGTCTCAACCACTGATGCACAAACCAATACATCATTTGTGTTAGTTTTGGCCGGTGCATCAGTGGTTGAGACCTTTCCCTTCTGTGTTTGTTTACAGTACCAAATCTATACAGAAGTGTGTCCCAGTAATTTTACTTCAGTAGGAACAATTTAATCCTCCAGTGTACATAGTTTAAATAACAACCAGAACCCAGTGCTGTCTCCCTGCAGCTGCATTATCTGAATCTACATTGTCAAACTGCATTAAACGGCAGTACAGATGAGGTTGCTAAACAGGGGAAAGGGAGTGCTTCAGTTCTCCGACTATAATCTTGTTTTGTTCTTCTCCAACCTATATCCTTACCACATCAAGATAATCAAGGACAAAATAATGGAATATGTGCATAGTGTATAATTTCTAGGAAGAACTCTCTGTTTGATAATACTCAAAGCTACCTTCTTGCCATTGTCTCCACTATTGTTCTGGTTGTGTCTCCTGTTCTTGTTGTAATTATGCTGCAGAAGACCTGGGTCCTTAACAGTACAGATCAAAAGACACTGTGCATCTTATTCTTTCTTCTCCTTCTCAATGTATAATCTGTGAAAAGAACAAAATAGAGAAAATGCTGCAAAATACAAAATAGAGGATTTTCCAAACACCATCTGCAAGCACATTGATGTCAGGTGGACAGGCATCAACAATAAGGAAGAGGCTTCAGCAACTACCCTACATCGCCAACTCCTGGCTTTAATCTATGCCTAATCAAGTTGAGAATAATTTTGCTAGTAGTTTTAAATAAGAAAGATAATATGAAGCAATTAGAAGTCAAGTTATGAAATTCTAGAGTTATGAAAGCCTGACTTAGAAGTTACAAAAGGTAAATTAGGGCACAGACCAACAAACCGAGAAACACCTGCCGCTTCACACTGAACTAAACTGACATGCAGGAAATGCTGGGATAAAAATAACACTTCAATATGATTACGGTTTCCTTCTTCAAGACTCTTTTGAAATTCTTAATTTCCGCCAGAAGCTTGGGAAGATTTTCAGTTTTAATATAACACAACTGCATTCAGCTTCACTATAACTGGGGCGGGGGTGGGGGGTTGTATTTATAACAAACATACCTTCTAAGAAACCTTTAGAAATATTATAATTTGGAAAATAAGTTTTCAAAGGATTTCAGAACCCTTTGGAACACTGTATAATTTGGGGGTGGGGTTAGCTGAAATTAGAAACAGACTTTCCACCTTTCTGAGCAATCTCTGCAACTTTAACTGACAGTATTAGATACCCTAAAAAACACAATCTGATCCTGAAAGTTGAGCAGGGCCAGCCTTGGTAGTACTTGGATGGGACATTGAAAATCAAGTGATATAGGCCACTGTTTCTTGAACTTTGGGTACCAACCTCAAATGAAGTCCCTTTAGCTCTATTTTGGGGTAATAAAAAAATTGGCAACACTAAAAGGTTTCTGAATGCCACCTAAACATTTGCACAAATCTGTTAGCAATTATGTGCGGTATTTACAGCAGACTACAAAAACAAAACCTGATTCAACTGTCCTTCATATAAAGGAAAATCTGCCTATTTAGAAAACCTTGTAAAAACTGATTTACTATCAATAAGTATTTAAATTTGATACCTATTTCATATACCCAGATACCTGAGGTCATGTAAAAAATTCTGAGGTAGAAACACTCCCAAGATTTTTTTTCACACGTACTGCTGTTGGGTCAGGTGTCACCTATCCTGTATCTTTGCATTTAATTTTTCGGCCTAACTTCATCACACTAGTGAATGAATCCACTTTAAATCTGGGTTTCTGCCTCCTGCAGAATTCTGGGGTTTGTAGTTTAGTGAGGGGAGCCCCCGGTGCCACAGTGGATTAAACAGCTGAGCTGCTAAACTTGTTGACCAAAAGGTCACTGGTTTGAATCCGGGGAGCGGCGTGAGCTTCCGCTGTCAGCCCCAGCTCCTGCCAACCTAGCAGTTCAAAAAAATGCAAATGTGATTAGATCAATAGGTACTGCTCCGGCGGGAAGGTAACAGCACACCATGCAGTCACACCGGCCATATGATCTTGGTGCTGTCTACGGACAAGGCTTGCTCTTCAGCTTAGAAATTGAGATGAACACCAACCCCAGAATTGGACACGACTGAACTTAATGTCAGGGGAAAACCTTGGAAGACATAGGGAGGAGGGAGCAAATTAGTTTTCTGCTGCCCCGGAGACTAGGACACAGAACAATGGCTTCAAACTACCAGAAAGGAAATTCCATCTGAACACTAGGAAGAACTTTCTAACTGTGAGAGCTGTTCAGCAGTGGAACTCTCTGCCCCAGAGTGTGGTAGAGGCTCCTTCTTTGGAAGCTTTTAAACAGAGTCTGGGTGGCCATCTGCCGGGGGTGCTTTGAATGCAGTTTTCCTGCTTCTTGGCATGGGGTTGGATGGCCCATGAGGTCTCTTCCAACTCTATGATTCTATGATTTTACCTTTACCTTTAGTTTAGTGAGGCAGTTAAAGGCTCCTCCCTGAACTACAAACCCCAAAATTCTGTAGGAGGCAGCAACCGGATTTAAAGTGGATTCATTCTCTAGTGTGATGAGGTTTTGCATTTGTCCCTGTTGAACTTAATTTTGTTAGTTTTGGCCCATATGTTCTTTGACAGCTTGTAAGTTTCCTCCACATGAATAAATACATAGGGGGTGAATTTATGAAATAGAGGCAGTCCCTGAGTTACAAACATCTGACTCATAGTTCAGAATGGGGGTGGGACAACAGGAAGTGAGCGGAATCTATTCCTAGGAAGGGACATTCACTCCCGAAAGAGTCATCATAGGGGAAAAGGTGTCTCCACTCAAGCTTTGTCACCAATCCTTGTTTGCACAACAAGCCAAATGTTTCAAAATCCAAGGGAAGTGAAGTCTTCTCGACAGGAGCACAGAGAGCAAAAGCAACACCTTAGGGCAGTGTTTCTCAACCTGGGGGTCGGGACCCCTGTGGGGGTTGTGAGGTGGTGTCAGAGGAGTCGCCAAAGACCATCAGAAAACACAGTATTTTCTGTTGGCCATGGGGGTTCTGTGTAGGAAGTTTGGCCCAATTCTATCATTTGATCCAGATCCATCATTTTTTGAGTTTTGCTCTTTGATTGCTTTTTTTATCGTAGGTGAACTATAAATCCTGGAGCCCCCAGTGGCGCAGTGGGTTAAACTGTTGACTGCTAAAACTTGTTGACTGAAAGGCTGCAGGTTTGAATCTGGGGAGCGGCGTGAGCTTCCACTGTCAGCCCCAGCTTCTGCCAACCTAGAAGTTCAAAAACATGCAATTTTTTTTTTGGTCATGTCAGGAGTGACTCCTGGTGTGAGAGAATTGGCCGTCTGCAAGGACGTTGCCCAGGGGACGCCTGGATGATTTGATGTTTTTATCATCCTTGTGGGAGGCTTCTCTCCTGTCCCCGCATGAGGAGCTGGAGCTGATAGAGGGAGCTCATCCGCCTCTCCCCAGGATTCGAACCTGCGACCTGTCGGTTTTCAGTCCTGCCGGCACAGGGGTTTAACCCACTGCGCCACCGGGGGCTCCTAACAAGAACATAGATGCAGGTGAAATGTCAGAAGGGAATCATAGAATCATAGAATCAAAGAGTTGGAAGAGACCTCATGGGCCATCCAGTCCAACCCCCTGCCAAGAAGCAGGAATATTGCATTCAAATCACCCTCGACAGATGGCCATCCAGCCTCTGTTTAAAAGCTTCCAAAGAAGGAGCCTCCACCACACTCCGGGGCAGAGAGTTCCACTGCTGAACGGCTCTCACAGTCAGGAAGTTCTTCCTCGTGTTCAGATGGAATCTCCTCTCTTGTAGTTTGAAGCCATTGTTCCTTGTAACGGTGCTCCTTGCAGTCATGCTGGCCACATGACCCTGGAGATGTCTATGGACAACGCCGGCTCTTCAGCTTAGAAATGGAGATGAGCACCAATCCCCAGAGTTAGACATGACTGGACTTAATGTCAGGGGAAAATCTTTACCTTTACTTATAAATCCCAGCAACTACAATTCCCAAATGTCAAGGTCTATTTCCCCCCAAACTCCATCATGGCCAAATGCGGTCCAGTGAATGAAAATACATCCTGCATATCAGATATTTACATTGCAATTTATAACTGTAGCAAAACGAGAGTTACGAAGTAGCAACAAAAATAATGTGATGGTTGGGGGTCACCACACCATGAGGAACTGCCTTAGGGGGAAGGAGGGAGGCGGGCCTTAGGCCTCAAAGCCGCCTCCTCCTCGCGTAAGGGGAAGGGCCGCCGCGTGTGAGGTAAACAACCCCGCCTCGTTGTGACGCTCCTGCGAGGGAGAGGAAAGGCCCGCCCTCCGGCCTCCCTGCCCGCCCTGCCCTTGGGAAGAGCCAGGCCCCTCCGGGGAAGGAAGGAAGGCAGGCAAGCAAGCAAGCAAGCAGGCAGGCAGCCAGCCATGAAGCCCAGCAAGGAGGCCGGAGCCGCAGACCCTTGGAAGGAGTGCCTGGAGGCGGCCGTGGAGCTGGCGCGGAAGGCGGGCAAGGTGAGCCGGGCCCTCGCCCACGTGGGAGCTGCACTCAGGAGTTGGCGCGCTTTAGCACCGTCTCAGCTACCCCCGCAGCGAGGCTCAGGAATGCTGCTGGGTGCTGTGCTCTTGGCAGAGAAGGTGGAAGACCTTGCCCGGCTTCTCTCTTCTCATGGCTTCAGCCTGGGCAGCTCAATGTGGGGCTGAGCTGCATTCATTTTGCACAAAATGAATGCCCTCCCTTGGGCCCTCCCTCCAGGTGTTTTGGACTACAACTCCCACCATTCCTAACAGCCGGTAGGCTGTTAGGAATGGTGGGAGTTGTAGTCCAAAACACCTGGAGGGAGGGCCCAAGTTGGACCATGTCTGATATACAGCCATGGGCCAACTTGGGCCCTCCAAATGATTGGACTACAACTCCCACCATTCCTAACAGCCTCAGGCCCCTTCCTTTTTCTTTTTCCCTTTCCTGCTTAAGCAGCTGAGGGGGAAAAGGAAAGGACCTGAGGCTGTTAGGAAATAGTAGTACCAAACTGCATTAATTCTACAGTGCAGACCAGGCATGGGCTAACTTGGGCCCTGTTTTGGACTCAACTCCCACCATTCCTAACAGCCGGTAGGCTGTTAGGAATGGTGGGAGTTGAAGTCCAAAACACCTGGAGGCAGGGCTCAAGTTGGCCCATGCCTGGTCTGCACTGTAGAATTAATGCAGTTTGGTACTACTTTGCCAGAACTCAAATGCTAAGGAATCAGAGCAGTCGTAGTTTGCTTTGGCTTCTACACTCTTGGATATCAACAAGGTTGGCGTCAACGCTCTTGGTTTGGCATCTATTTATTTATTTATTTATTTATTTACAGTATTTCTATCCCGCCTTTCTCAGCCCAAAGACGACTTACAATTGGCAGCGGTTTGATGCCACAACATTCATAAATACCATTAAAATATTTAACAGAACATAATAAAAATACATATAAAACCATTCAAACTATAATCATAAATGTCTTCCCGTTAAACTCATTTTCCATTAGCATCGTATAAGCTGTTCCAAGTTCACTCTTCCATAGTACCGTGTTTATCTATTATAGTGTGTATATCCACAAGCTTGTTTGAAGACCCAGGTTTTTACTTTTTTCCGGAAAGTCAGGATGGAGGGGGCCAATCTAACTCTTGGACTAACTCATCAACACTCTTGGACTTCAACAAGGTACAAATCCTATGGTTTTGCAGCTTTGAGTCCAGTCAAAGCAGTGTCAAACTGGATTAATTTTGCAATATAGATGCACTATAAGTCTGTCCAGGAGATTTTTTATGTCAAAGTAAGCCTGAGTTGTCCTATGTAAGGAGAGTAGAGGGGGACAGGAAAGAGGGAACATGTACATGGTACTTTTCATAAAAAACTGAGAAATAAAACTGGATTAAAAGAGCAAAAGGTGAACGGATTTGGTTTGATCTGGTCAAAGGAACTGGTAAAGGACCAAGCCTCTTCTGAGCGTCTGACTCAAGGCGCTCTATTTCAGAATGTCTTGAAAATCATAAAGGAAATATTCTGAAAAGATGTGTTGTTTACTTTTTTAAAATACAGGTCAAATATCCCTTCTTGGAAAAGTGTGGAGCCAGAAGTGTTTTGGATTTATTTTTGGAATACCTTTATTTGCATATACGTACATAGTGAGATACCTTGGAATAGGACCCAAGTCTAAACATGAAATGTCACTTCTGTTTCACATTCACTGGTACACATAGCCTGAAGGCAATTTTATACAGTATTTTTAATCATGTAGTGCTTGAAACAAAAGTTTGTTTACAAGTACCATCAGAAAGCAGAGATGTTATTATATTTCAAGTGGGCAGTTTTGGATTTTGGAGTGTTATGATTTGTGGAATTCCCAAGATGTATTTTGGATTTCCAGATAAGGGATGGTCGAGCTGTAGTTCAGATTTCCAGTAAACCTGTATCACTATTTAGTTACGGTACTATTATTTCAAAAACTCAAGTGCAGTTTAGGCAACATTCTGCCATTCTGACTTCACAGGACTGAATGTCTTCACACATTTTTGGTTGCCGTAGCTGCAGAAATAGGAAATGACCTTTTTAGTTGCAGAAGGACATAGGATGAGAGAGACTAAAGTGAGCACAAAAGAGGTTCATTTTCTAGTGATTGACATTAAGAAAAAGCATTTATTATCAGTCTTGTGTGCTTATCTAAGTGCAGAAGTGTACGAATTAAATTGACCCCATAGAATTACAATATGTTTATTTAAAATATCATTGAAACTTTGAGAGTTGTAGTTTTACAGGGTACTGCTATTTAGCCTTCTCTGCCAAAGAGTGCTGGTGCCTCACCAAACTACAGCTTCCAAGAATTCATAGCATTGAGCCATGGCAATTCAAGTGGTTTCAAACTGCATTCCTCAAATATGTATATTATGTCCTCATTACTGTACATTTATTATTTTACTCTGTTATTATTATTATTACGTTTATTATTTTACTCTATTTTTATTATTGCATTTATTTTACTCTTATTGTTACTATTACATTTACATTATTTTACTCTATCATTTTTATTACATTTATTATTTTACTCTATTATTATTTGATACACAACAAGATTAGTACACAGCAAAAAAGCTCACTATGCTGGCTTTTGTATTGGATCACACATTGGATTATTATTATCGCATTTATTATTATACTCTAATATTTTTATTAAATTTCCATTATTTTACTCTATTGCTATTATTTTTATTGCATTTCTTATTTTACTCTATTATTATTGGAAGGATACATAAGAAGGTTAGAATAATGATTTAATCAGAGTTGGACAGTCTTATCTTAAATTACAGTTTTATGTAAACATTCAAAAACATTTAACCTACTGATGCCTTAATTAATGTAATTGTATTGGTATCTATCTTTATTTTGAAATTTACCAACAGCTGCTGCATTTCCTACCCTTGGCTTATACTCGAGTCAATACTTTTTCCCAGTTTTTTGTGGTAGAATTAGGTTCTTCGGCTTATATTCAGGTCGGCTTATACTTGAGTATGTACGGTAATACCTTACCAGTTGTACATGTTGTTGTGCTTTATAGGAACAAAATCCTAAAGACCAAATGCACATTTACTTGAAATTCTCAGTCCATGCAAACCTGTGTTTACTGGCTTCCTTAGCTATATTTTTATTTATTTTGTATTCTCTCTCTCAAAACTGAAACACAAGGCAACTCAGAAAACAATTAGCTGTCAAAGTGAGAAAAACACAGGAAGTTATTATAAAAAAAAGAAAAAAGAAAGCCATTGCTTGTTGTGGCTATGTAGCCACTTTGAGTCTGTATATTGAAAGAAAGCAAAGATAAATATATATAACTATTATGGGACTGCATAGCTGAGGGTCCTCTACACTGTAGAATGAACATTTGACACCACTTTAATTGCCATGGCTTAATAGTATGGAATCACTGGAATTGCAGCTTGATGAGACACCAGTGCTCTTTGGCAGAGGAGACTAAAGACCATATAAAGCTCCCACAATAATATAGCATTGAGCATTGGTAGCTAAAGTAGTATCAAACTGCTTTAATTCTACAGTGTAGGTGTACCCTTCCTTATTCATTCCTCAGTATCTCCAAATGAGCATGTGGGTATATTTTTATTTAGCATAAGGATTAAAACACATTTAAATAACAGAGTTTTGTTACTGCCGAATATGAGTGACCTTTATTCCTTGTGCTTCATAATAGGTCCCTAAGAGGCAAAATTCTGAATTTCTCTTAGGGGCCTAAGAATATAAGGATGTATTTTTCAGGCTCTATGGGGGTTGGTATATTCCTTTCCTTCTTCTGCAGAGCTTGAAGTAAACCCCTCAAGCCATTTCACATGGCTATACTGTCCTTTCCAGTAAGACTCATCTAGCTACATCCCCAGATGCATACATAGTAGATACAGTAGCACTGAGATCCACAAAGATCCTCCAAGTAATCTTAAGAACTTCTCTCATCATTGTGCATTTGACTATGATGAAGTTGCTGAAGACCTCTAAGATTTTGTTTTCCTGCTGCAAAGCATGGGATGGTCATGCTGGGGCCTTCAGAGGCATTTCTATAAGTTGAGGTTGAGGCTATATGGCTTAATATAACCCATGCAGATATTTATGACTCTGAGGGAGTGTAGCCTTGTAATCATTATCTCTCCTCTGAATTCACTTCAAAAATATCATATTTCTACCAACATACCTTTAAGAAAACATCAATATTATGATGGTATTTCTTAGTAACATAGATTGTCTTTTCAAAAAATGTTGAAAGAGAATTAGATTAAAAAGACATTATTTTATCAATGGAAAGGGAGGAGCAGAAATCAAAGAAAGGAAAACGTGTCTATTTTTTTTGTTCCCTTGACATTTACCTCAATTTCTGAATAGCTTCTTGTCCATTATTCTTATTTTTATGTCTTATGTAACTTCACATCCAGTTGCAATGGCAAGCCTGAGTGTTTGTCCTAAGCGTATTAAATACTTTAAACTATTATTTCACACTTGTTATATACGTGGGGCCAAAATGCTGCACCTGTCAAAGAAAAAGGACCTAATTCAAAGGAAATTCCTTTGCTTTCAAGGGAAACTGTTACCTCCTTCAACAACACTGTAGCTTCCCTAGCTTCACAGTCAGGCTCTAGTTTTGAATAAAACTAAAGCACCCAGACCCATAAAGGATTTCTTAAAAATGTGCAAATCTCCCACTTAATCTGGGTCAGATCTGTTGCAAAGGGCGTGGGTTTTATCCCAAAGAGTCTCACATACTGCAAAACCTTTTTTAAAAGAAAAGGGGCAGCTGAAACTGGAAGTCCCTTCTAGTCATGTTGGGTGCACAGTTGCTGCCTGTTGAAGGCAAATGCAGGATCGAAAAATGCAGTTACCCACCTTTATCTTTCAGGAAAGGTCTCCAATATCACATATAAATGCCAAAGTGGGATCCCTGTTTCACAGTAGTATCTGGTCTAATGTCACAGTGATAAGAAGAGAAAATAAACACGTGATTCTATTGTGTTCCATATACCTTCTCCTCTTAACTTTTGGTAAATATGGCTCCAGCGATAAACTGTATTCACCTATTTCTGAATTCAGTGTGTAAATTTGAAGCATCATGAGGATGTTGGAAAGACTTGAAGAGAAAATAATCTGACTTCCATCATACTGAAACTTGAAATGATAAAAACTCAATGGTGTTGAAGAACACTAATATTAAAAGAGTAGATCAGTGGCCAACTAACCTGGTGTTCTTGATATTAGCTGAATATTATAAGAGTTGTAGTCTAAAATATCTGGAGGGCATCAGGTTGGGGAGGGCTGCATTACACTTTATATGTTGATACAAAAATAATAGAAGTACAGATGTAATACGTCAGCCCTCCATATTTGCTGGTTGGGCGCAGAGGAATTCTATAAAAGTTTTAAAAACCTCAAATAAAGAAAATGCTATTTTTTTCAATTGAGGATATTTTTTTTGGTCATCTATTATTATTATTATTATTATTATTATTATTATTATAACTTTATTTGTACCCCACTAGCATCTCCCAAGGGATTCGATGCGGCTTACAACAGGCCGGAGCCCAACACAATACAACAATACAATACATAGCAAATAAAACAGTTAAAGCAGAAAACAATAACAGTAGCAGTACAACAGGACATTATTAAAAACTGAGCCGGCCGGAGTAGGGTACAGGATTAAAAGTGCTGAAAGTGTCGGAGGGATATGGGATTAAAGTATAAGTGCGGTGTGCGTTGAGGGTGATCTTGACTCTACTAAAGTGCTTCTGGGCTTTGGTAGTGGGGTTCCTAATCTGAGAAGGCACGTTGGAACAGCCAGGTTTTCAGGTTCTTTCTGAAAACCGCCAAGGTAGGGGCCTGTCTGAGATCTTTCGGGAGGGCATTCCAGAGGCGGGGGGCCACCACAGAGAACGCCCTGTCCCGTGTCCCCACCAAACGCGCCTGCGACGTGGGCGGGATCATGAGCAGGGCCTCTCCTGATGACCGGAGTGAGCGTGTGGGTTCGTAGACTGTGATGCGGTCTCGCAGGTAGGGTGGTCCCAAACCGTTCAGGGCTTTGTAGGTAAGCACCTGCACCTTAAATTGGGCTCGGAAAATAAACGGCAGCCAGTGGAGCTCCTTAAACAGGAAGGTTGACCTCTCTCTGTAATGGGCCCCCGTTAGCATCCTGGCTGCTGCCCGTTGGACCAGATCTAACTATGGTCAGCTTCTGCATGACTGGAGGAAGTTGACTATAGTGTCATACTAGATGACCTAGAGTTTCCTAGAGAGGCTATTTTAAATCAAATCTGTGAAACAGTCAAATCCGCAAAAGAAAATTTCACTGTTTCAAATGCCAGCATTTATCTTATCAGAACTGTATATGGGTGGAACTGGGAACTATATTTTTCTCTATATGTTTGTCATATAGAACAAGGAGAGGTAGGTAAGAAATTGTTTTATTATTATATATGCGAGCTGAAAGTTCTATCTGTTCTTGGTTTTAAGGGATGTAGGAATGCTTTGTAAAGTAATATCTGATGTACTCTTTCTAGATCATTAAGAATGCTCTCACTGAGGAAAAGAAGGTGTCCACCAAAACCTCTGCAGCAGATCTTGTGACAGAAACGGATCACTTCGTGGAAAACTTAATTGTTTCTGCTCTGAAAGAGAAGTTTCCCTCTCACAAGTATGTTATCCTTATAGAATTAATGTTTTGCCCTGGGATTCTGTGAATATAGAAGTTCAAGTAATGTCAGTAGTAGCAAGGCTGCCTCATGCATTGTATGTATGAATGGAGCCGATGGTTGTCCCATAGAGCACAATATTTTGTGAAATGGGATTGGCTGGAGCTTGCTATCAATTGTACATTTGGTGCCAGATGTGCTTAAATTATGACATCCTGCATAAATGCAATGGAGAAAAACCTCTATTTGGTCATGTTCGGCAGTGGAATATGCTCTTTGAGGGTGTGGTGGAGTCTTCTTCTTTGGAGGTTTTTGATCAGAATCTGGATAGCCATCTGTTGGGGGTGCTTTGTTTGTGCTTTTCTTGCATGGTGGAAGGTTGGACTGAATGGCCCTTGTGGTCTCTTATGACTCCATAGAGGAAAATCAAATTACTAGTTATATTTATATTTCTTTCCTGTTGTGAATCTATTTTATAATAGTGCTGTGAAGTGTATTTGACTCGGATATAGGTTGCAACATTGATGTAATTAAGACACCCTTTTACATGCAGTTTCTCAATTTTGTGGAATCTTGGGAGCTGTAGTTTGCAGCAATCTTTGGCAGAGAAAGCTAAAACTAGAACTTCCTGGATTCTATAGCATTGAAGCAGAAACCGAATTCTTTGTGTGACCCCAACATTGAGCTAAGGCAGTGGTTCTCAACCTGTGGGTCCCCAGGTGTTTTGGCCTACAACTCCCAGAAATCCCAGACAGTTTACCAGCTGTTAGGATTTCTGGGAGTTGAAGGCCAAAAACATCTGGGGACCCCAGGTTGAGAACCACTGAGCTAAGGGGTTGGAACCACAATTTAAGAAGTTGTGCCCTTAAGGACCTAGCAAATTCCCAGAATGTTTTACGTTTTCCAGGGTGACTCTATAGTAATGTCTGGCAGAAGTTCTCGATTTTAATAGGGTTTGCTACTATCCTGTTTCCTGTTTCTACAATAAATTCAGGAACATACCTCCTGCAGACTGGTTAATTTTGAGACCTCATGAGAAACAGTCACTCATTTTCCCAAATGGATGACAATATTGATCTTTGTAGTTTGGATATTATATAATTGTTTAGGATTTAGAAGTATTTGTCTCTCTTTCCTCCTCCTCCTGCATGCCAATGGAGAATCTGTTTCAAACAGCAGGGGAGCATTTGGACTGGTACAATATGGAGTCAGTTAACAATTATGTGTTGGGGTTTTTAAATGCTCCAGCCTCTGTCTTCTGAAATCCAGATTAGATTTCCCCTTAGTGAAATGAATATCGTGGTTTCTGCCTGTTCTTAGCTGACATCTGTTCACATAATACTAAGAGACACAACCCCAGAAAATGTGATGTGATAGGGATTCTCAGCTAAAATGTTTATAGTCTGTTGACATACAGATTTAAGAGAGCACATATTGGGATGAAACAATACATTGCCCATTATTGATCATCATGCCAAGCTTAATGTTTGCCTAAAATTGATACTGTATTGCCCATATCTGCAATACCTGTGTTGAATAAAATGTATTTCCCACTTTAATAGCATTCATACAGAGATACAGTAAGAGTACAAGGCAAATTCAAAAATGCTTTCAGTGTAAATGCCCTTATCCTTGAAAACCTATAGATGAGAATAAGCATTATGAAAGCAAACACTTGGAATACACCCTAAAATGAGCATTTTGGCCTGTCTTCAATTTATGTGCTTCTGGTTTGTTACTCAAAGAGGGAGGTCTCCAGCATGGTGAGAGGAAGAAGCTTTTTTATAATAAAATATGGGTAAAAATCCTATTGAATGACTTTCAAAAACACTTCATGTTTCGCCTCTCTGAAGTCAAATGTCACAAGGAACCGCTAGAGTGATGCCAGTACCTAAACTGCCTGAGACAAAAATGTGTCTGCCTCCAGTGAAATTCCAATTTGAATGTTCTCATTCATGGTGTAAATGTGCATTACTTAACAGGTTTATTGCTGAAGAAGCTACTGCTGCTGGTTCACAGTGCATCCTCAATGACAGTCCTACCTGGATCATTGATCCTGTTGATGGCACCTGTAATTTTGTTCATCGGTAAATATAGAGACAGTGAGCCTAGTTCTTTTTCTCTCTTCTCCTACTGTGTGGTGTTCTTGCTCAAAGATTTCTTTCTGTGTCTGATCTCCCCAAATAAGGCTGGCTTAAATGCTAGCTGACTTCCCTTCACATCTGTCAAGGTCAGAAGTTACATTTTTCCTGACTCTTTCAAAACTTCTAGTCACCTATAATTTTGGTCAATTGAGGGGTGCAGCAATATACTGTGGATCTGACAAAAATGGACCCTGGTCTGCTTACAGTTCCTCTTATTCAAAAGATGACACTATTCACTGCTCATTTTTTTCAATTTATTGAAAGTGTTTATCTTCCAAAGTATTTACTCTTTACTCTTCCTTTTCTAAGAAAAAATTATGCCCATAACACTAGCCAACACACATTTTGGTGCCTCAAATGTTAGCCCTGTTTTTGGGTGTATGCGACCTGCTAATTCCAAAAATAGCAGCAGTTTTCCCCTATCAGCTCTAGTTTTTGAGATACAGAACATATGCCATATACCACTCTACATAATAATATAAGAAACTAGAGCTGATATGGTCTATCCAATGCAATTTTCTGAATCAGCATCCCAAATAACCCCAGGAACAGGCTTAAAAACCAAGACACCAAGAAAAGATTTTTTTTTTTGGTTTGGCTGTTTAAACATCAATATTATTGATAATGATAACACTATGTAGACAATTTGAAAAAAATCTGTTCATGTTTTTAAAGTGTAATTTCCTGTTTATTTGTGTGGTACTTACCAGAAACTTCATTTTTGTGGCTGCCACAAATTATGTTGAATTGGTTGAGGCTTTATCAGATATTCATTGTGTTGCAGGATGTCCTGGAAAAACTAAGTTTTTGCAGTTTAATAAACCTTTTCCGTGATTTTATGATAGAACAAATTAGGAATTGACATTTATAACCCAGGGACAAAAATCAATTGTGTTACATAGTGTAATCACTAATCATTCTGAAAATGATAGTAATATTTTCCTTATGATGGTAGCAAAGCCTTCATTAACTTAGAACTTCATTCCAGTTTGTAAGTTACTTTGCTGTCACGAAATATAAGTTTGAGCCTGTTGTTTGTAATAATATAGACATTCTTTTACTGTACAGGTTCTAGCATGTCGAAATTGTAGAAAAACTGACTTTTAAATATTTTGAGGAGGAAATTCTTGCGACTCGTCTACCTTGTAAATAATTCTTACTTTGCCATGTCTGGAAGTTGGATTGAGCTCTGAACTTCATTCTAGAAGATCAAATGCCACATCCTTTAATTTCTTCACAGCATAACCTCGTTACTCACTGGTTCTACTCTTAGTCTCCATTACTTGCACATCATCCCAAGATTTAACAGAATGGAAAGGCACTTTCTGAATCAAGGCAGAATTTGACATTTCTTCCATGCTTCAGTGGAAAAGCACTGCTGAACTGACCCATGGAACCACTTTCTAAAATTAAGAATGTGTTTTAAAATTTTAAAAAAGCATTCATTTAAAAATATGTAATATTTTTGGCCAAGAATCATCACTGTCATATTGCTGGAAAGTGATTCTGTTTTAAAGTGTATTAAACAGATGCAACTGATTTTATTTATACAGATTTCCGACTGTAGCTGTTAGTATTGGATTTGCTGTTAACAAAGAGGTAAAACATAATGTTCTGTGCGTTGGTCTGTAACGCTTTGGCTGAATATATAGGAATAAATGGCCCGTTATATAGGAATCTGGCTAATAAAATCTAAATGTTATGGACACAAATTAGAGAAAACCGTTAAAGGTGTTTGTCCTTCCAATTGGGAAAATCTAATTTTGATTTGCATGCTTTGGTAAGTTTTCGTATGATACTCAAGCCAATTATTCAATGAGCAATTTTATTATGAGCTTCCATAAATGTCTGAATATCTTTGCTGAGAAGATTAAATCTAAAACTAAATATTTTGCCACTGTTGCCAGTCATATCAGTACAGTGAAGAAAACCTGTTTTCTGGATTTCTAATAATGAATGTAATTAGGAGCCATAGTATACCTGTATAAGGAGATAGAGCAATTCAGCTATTTACATGTTATGTAATATATTAAATTGAAGGTCTAGAGTAATTATTATAAATAATAGACTCTACTTGTATGCTGTTAAGCAATATTAGTTGATTTATATTTATACATTGTCTAAAATTGCATTCATGTTACTTTTCTTTTCTTAAAACCCTAAAGCTTGAATTTGGTGTAATTTATCACTGCACTGAAGAACGGTTATACACTGGTAGAAGAGGTCAAGGGGCATATTGTAATGACAAAAGGCTACAGGTATCGAAAGTGACAGGTTAGTTTATACGTTGTAAGCACTCTAAAATAAATGCTTCAAATGTTATAATTGCACAGAATTGATGCTATTTCCCAAGTAATTAATGTGCCATCTGTGTAACTCTTGCTCATTTTTATCCCATGTTTTAAACTATTTAGTTTAAACTTTGTTTACAAGGAACTTTTAAAAATCGCTGTAAAATTGGATGCAACAGAACTGATGATTGCTGCCTACACTTCTATTTGGGATGACTCTATAGTGAAATGTTACTAACTGTGGGTCCATTTAAAATGTTACAATTGAGGGTGATCTAAGTCTTATAAGATTTAGGTCAAACTACTTGAAAAGCTTATTTTGGGTAGTAAGCTTATTGTAAGGAAATCAACTTTAAAAGCCTCCATTCCATATTGGGGCACATATGAAGCAGCCCTGATTTCATAGTGGAATGGGTCTGATAGTCTGAGTTGATGCCATGACTTGAAGGCAGGGATAATGAATACCTGTATGTGGCTCTTCAGACATTGTTGAATTGTAGCTCCTATATTCCTCACATTGGCTGGAAGATTAGTTATGGGTAAACTGCTGAGCTACTGAACTTGCTGACCGGAAGGTCGGCGGTTAAAATCCACGGGACGGAGTGTGCTCCCATTGTTAACACAAGCTTCTGCCAACCTAGAAGTTCGAAAACATGCAAATGTGAGTAGATCAATAGATATCGCTTCTGCAGGAAGGTAACAGCGCTCCATGCGGTCATACTGGCCACATGATGTTGGAGGTGTCTACGAACAATGCCAGCTCTTTGGCTTAGAAAGAGAAATGAGCACCACCCCCTAGAGTCAGACAGAACTAGACTTAATTTAATGTTACTTTAATTTAAGATTTACCTTTACTTAATGTTCAAATGTTTTTACAACATCCTGATGATAKAAAATGAAAGCAGAGGAATTCTCKAAAAAATTCAGTACAGTTAGTTAGTCCTAGGATAGAACACATAGTAAGGGGATTACTTGTTGAAATATTGCATYGCCTCGTGCTTCTTTCTCAATGAACATAAATTATACTGGCTATCACAGATTTTGGTGCCTCAGATGTTAGACCTGTTCCTGGTTATATTTGACCTTCTGATTCCAAAAATGGCACCAGTTTCCCCCATCAGATCTAGTTTTTTGAAATACAGAATATATATGCCACCTACCAGTTGTCATAGAAAACCACGATAAACATGTCTAAGAAACTAGAGGTGATGCAGTCTATGCAATGCAATTTTCTGAATCAGCACCTCAGGTAATCCCAGGAACAGAACAAAAACCAAGAAACCAAGATTTCTTTTTGTTTGGCTTTGTTATTAATAAATTAATAATATATATTTTTAAATTTGCAGTTTAGTTTCAACACTGTCTTTTTCCTAATATATGCTAATATGATTATTAACAAAAGATTTGAATAGCAACCTTCTACAAGACTCCTATACCGGTTATTTGTTATGTACATAATTGTGATTGCTTACTATATTGCATGTATCTATTGATATGCAGTTTTCCCTTAACTCTATGTTGTTTGTGGTTGTGGGAAGGACTGCAGACCATGTGACCAGATCTGGGACTGTTCAGACTGAGACTGCATTTTAGAAGCCAATTTGCATCAGAAGCAGTAAAGTACAGTTTAGTACAATATGCAGTTGGTAGTGTCAGTGTGCTGCAGTTAGTAGTCAGTCTGTATTGAGTCAGTGTTCAGTAATGTATTAGACTGAAGAGAGTGTTAGTCTGAATGCAACAAAGAAGAGACTAAAACAAAATGCTTTAGAGAACGTACTGTTTAAACTGTCAAACAATAAGAAATGTACCTATACAATACAAAACCTTATTACGGTCACTGACCAGCACAAAGTGGGGCAAGAAAGTAAATCAACTATGTTACTGTTAACGAAAACTACTTACTTTTGGTCTCTTGAGAGCATGATTTAAAAACCAATATATTTTATGGGAGAGTAGAGGGTTTTTTGGGGCAATTGAAATAACACTTCTGAAGATCAGCTATATATTTTGTCCATTGGCATATCTTTGTTCCTCACAGTTCAGAGAGATAACTGGGTATATCAGTCTAACAACTGACAAGCCTAATTTGCCTTGCATGAATACTAGTGGGTATTTACCACTAAGAAGAAGATTCACTCAAACAAATATTTAACTCTTCTCAGGAAGATCGTACTTCACAAAAGGTTATGATTATTCCAAATAGTGTGAATGCAATTAATCTCCAAATGGGTCACGTTTCCAAAAGGCCATAGAGATTTCTGGTTTTCCAAAAGGTCATGCCTTTCCAAAACAGAAGTTGTAGATTAGGAGATAACAGTTGTTCAATATTGAATTGCTGCTATGACTAAGATTTGCTTCTGCATAAAGTGTAAAGAATGTAATGTTAAAGGTAGTTTCAAGATAAAACTATTACTGTTTTGGAATTTAGAACTTACCAAGAATCAGCATTAAAAGATATATGTACGTGGAAACTGAGATGTACTATAAAAAACAAAATATGATTTGCAGTAGCATTTGGAAAAGATCTACTTTGAAAAACAGTTCCAATAATACATATCTATTTTATCTTACAGACATCTCAAAGGCCTTGATTTTAACAGAGATTGGCCCAAAGCGTGATCCTGACACTTTGAAAGTATTTCTTAGTAACATGGAGAGATTGCTCAGGGCCCAAGCTCACGGGTAAGATTTTCTTAATATTTCAGTAGTAATCCTTTTATCAACATTTTGGTGAAGGAGTAGTACACAGAAACATAATGAACACACACAAAGGTTTTGTAGGAATTGAGAACCAGAGCTCTTGCTGAACCAGACTACTCTGTTACCTGTACAAGGGGAAGTTCTTGTGCACCAAAGAAAATACTGCCTTTAAACTGCCTCCAGCTTTGCTATTAAGAAAGGAAGCTGCCCTCTTTTTTGCCTGGGATTTATTATAGTAACCAAGCATTCTTTTATAAAGTGAATGAGGAAGATACAAACTGTTCACTGCTGGCTTGGCATTCATTGCGAGATTACAAAGAACAGAAGTGTATTGGGTCAAAAAATTGAAAATGGGCAGATATTTTTCATAGTTCAGAATATATACTAGTTGGTGAATAGATACCAACCCATATTGATTGGAATCCTGATGGTTAGCCTAAATCAGGACTTTTTAAACTTTTCCCATCCGCAACTGCATTCCATCTGAGAAGTGTTTGTGCCCCTGGGTATATTGGTATATATAAAGTGCCAGAAAACGCTAAAATGTTATTGACTGGAGCAGAGTGCAATATAACTCGTCATGATGCCACATGAATGTAAATATATATTGTATTTGTTTTTAAATTGCTCATTTTAAGGTGTTTTATATTTATTTATTTTCTTATTGATTTGGAATTATGTATTTGGATTGTTTGTATGATTTTAATATGCTGGATATAAATAAAGCTGGATATAAATTATTATTATTATTATTATTATTATTATTATTATTATTAAATAGGTTTAGAAACCAAACATTTACTGAAAATAGATTGGCATTTTCAAAGGCTTGCTAAACAGGCAGATTTTTCTTTTTGTGGAGTACAGGTGGAGCATTTTCTGCATGCTGTTCCTAACAGATTTGTGTAAATGGGTAGCATTTAGAAACTTTTTACAGTTGCCAAATTTTTGTGTGACCTCCCAAGGGGACTTCATTAGGGATTGGTCCCACAGTTTAAGGCATAAATGAGAATAGACCCATTGAAACTATTATTGAGTAGTCAATACATAGCTAAATCCAGCTAATTTAATGTCTCTTTTCTAGTATTTTATTCTAACACTAGAAACTTAGACTATTAGTTTTCAAGCCTTTGTGCATGACTTGGGCGGGGATAGAATTCTGCTTTATCAGGAATGTTTTCTTACATGTCTTTTGCCTGTCTCCCTTCCCTCCCCTTCCTTGATTTGTTACAGGGTGCGGGTGATTGGAAGTGCTACCTTAGCCCTCTGCCATCTAGCGTCTGGTGCTGCAGATGCTTATTACCAGTTTGGCTTGCACTGCTGGGATTTGGCAGCAGCTACTGTGATTATCAGAGAGGCAGGTGGTGTTGTGATAGATACGTCAGGTGAGCAGAAACATTTTTGTTAAGAAGAGTCACAGGATTTGTGTTTTTTTTACATAATCTGGTTGGACTTTTTTCTGCTTTCTAATTCACAGAAGGAAATATAGGGTGGGACATAAAGATCTCCCATATTTTGAGGGGGCACTGTGAAGGTTGTAGTGGGAGTAGAGAGGTGGGATAGGTCTAATTCGGTAGATTAGGCTGTGTCATTTTGATTACTCATCATGAGTTGTGCCAGTGAACATTGGAGCTTTGTTCAAGCGTATTATGAGAACAACTGTTCTGTGATGATGATACAGAGAGCATTCTATATATGCTTTGTGCTTGGTCGAAATGCATCTGTACCAGATTGGAAAATGATTTTGCTATGGATTTCTAATCTTTGGGAAAACTGGATCCACACAAAAAAGAAAATTTCTGGCAGACCTAGGACTGTTAGAAGGTCAGAAAATGTGGAAGCAATGAGAGCATCCACTCAGCAATCTTCAAGGCATTCTGCTCATAAGCATGCCATGGTACTGGGGATATCAAGTCAGTTTGAGGAGGATTCTGCATGCATCCTTACAAAATAATTTGTCTAATATAATTTTTAAAACCCATTACAACAAAACTGTTTTTATGTACTTTTTATAAATATATACAATATTTTTCTCCATAACTTTGTTCATTTTTTAATATTCTTTGAAAACGTGGGAGTTCTTTATGTCTCACCCTGTCTTTGGAAGGAGCCTTCTTGTTGTTGGTTATTATTATTATTGCTATATTTATTTATATTCCTTTTTTTTTTACAAAATGGGGTTCAGACTGGTACTCAAATCAGTTCCCTAACTATGATGGTGTTAAACAGTTCCTTTTAGCATATCAGGGTTATTTCCCTTTGGGGAGGTAAAGCAGGGTATAAAAATATATTAATTATTATTACTATTATTCAAGGAGGCTGATTCAAGAAGTTTCAGGAAAACTAAAGTTCCAAAGTCAGAGTTATATAGACCTGTGCAAACTGCCTCTACCCAATTTTCATATTTTGTTTGTCCCACTCGGACTTCCCAGCTTTCAGGAAAGTTTTTTCTGGGCTACAATGAGCTTTAAAAAATGGGCCAGACTGTAGGATCCTGTTGCTCAAGCGAACTTCTTGTATTATATAAAACACAAATGAACAATATAAGAAAGTTAGTTGTGACTATAATTGTATAACATGTGCTGTCTCAATTTTACAAACAGTTGCTTTTTATTTCCATGGAAGGTGAACACTGCAATTATTTTTGCTACTTCATATACCCCAATGAAATCCAGCAGCTACATTTACTGACTTAATCAAGAAGTTACTTGATGCCTTGAGTACACAGAGAGGGAGAGTCTTGTATTACTTCTGAATCCAAGTTATATACAAACATATTTTTGATAAAATCCCTCCTCTTTCCTAGGTGGTCCTCTAGACCTAATGTCATGCCGGGTCATTGCAGCAGGTACCCAGGAAATGGCTACATTTATAGCTCAGGAAATACAGACAATTCACTACAGGAGAGATGATGAGAATTGACAAGACTTGAATATTTCAGAAATCAACAGAAAACCTGCCATTTTGGAGCAATTTTCTCTTCCTTCAAGATGGATTGCCTATAGGGTAACTGGCTTAGTAGTGTGTTTTCCTGTACAGTCTATATAGCAAATGTATTAAGAAGAGGTTTTAATTGTGTTATAGGAAGGTGAAGGGAAACTTTTAATTTTTGTATGCCAACTGGTCCCCTTTTAGTAAGATTTTTTTTCCAGCTATTCTTTTTTTTCAATGTTGTAGATATCCCAGATTGAGTTGCTTAGTTACCTTTTTGAGACTGAAATAGAAATGGCATTTTTGTTACAAACCAGAAACAACCCTTTATTTTTGCAGAACTCAGGTAAACTAGTTTTTTGTCCCACAGCAAGGGACAAACAGTTTTAAAATGTGTGCCTAAATTACCCTCAGCTTAACCATACTTGAGAGAAAAAAATATTATTCTTGTCTAAAGTTAGAAGTACATTTATTGAAAATATCTTTAGATATTTACATTTATTTATATGGTACACGCAAGAGTGATAACGGTACATATCCTTGAATTGTGTATTGTCCTTGTGTAAATAATGACGCAAATGTTTTTAATGCTGATCAGAAGGTAAAAGGGGGCTATTTCCCCACAAAAAAATCTTGATTCTAGGAGCAAAACAAAATATTTGCAATTTTAATGATATCATCTGAAAAAAATCATAAGGAAGAGAAGGACAAAATGTAGGATGATAAACCTGATGAATTTCAAAGGTAGATCAGCAAGCATATTACGCTGGTAATAGGATCAGTAAAAAGTTTTTTTCTTCTCAAATTAAGTTACTGTATTCACAAAAGTGTGAGGGGAAAGCACAAGTAGATGCTTTACGTATTCTCAATGACGTTTCATTCTATAAACGTATGTATTTTCCTGAATCAGTGTTTTACATCCAGATTTCGATGATGGACCATAGGGTTCATATCAGAAACAAAGGCGACCCCACTAGCCTGCCCACATCTATAACAGGATGCCAAAATTCACGAAGTACCATTCATTATTGTGGGTTAGATAGAATATTAGCAGAAAAGAGTCTTGCAGCTCTTTAAATAGTATTCTTAACTCATAATGGGAGATATATTTAAAGGACTGAAGAGGCTCATCTAACAAATACAGGCATACCTCAGCTAACAAAGCCTCTGAAAATGAAGCTCCTTTTTACAAAGTCTTCCTCTCTCCTCTCGGCCCCTCCCCTTTTCCTTCTCATCCTCTGAGTAGCTGGAATGTTTAGCAGCATTAGTATTGAGGGGATGGTGGAGAAGGGCTGGAGGAACAGTGCATGGTATTGTTTTGCAACAGTGTGCCAAATGCGATAATTGGGCAGTTCTCTAGATCTATGTGCTTCTCTTCCAGAAGCCAGGCAAATAGCAAAATCCCTTAGTGAGTATGCAGGAGCAGCAGTAAAGAGACAAAAGGGGAAAACAGATAACCAGGTCCTCCAAGCATGTTAAAAGCCATAGATTTATTGTGTGGAAATAATAAAGAAGATGGAGAATGGTAAAAGGGGGAAAAATAATCCCTCGATGCATTTCAGAAAAACCTTTCCGGTGGTCTTTAGAAAATTTGCAAAACTTTTGTTTAGTTGTGCAACCCTTACTGGACCTCAGTGTTTCATTTCACACATACACATTGTCAATTGTGGATAAATTGTTTGCTGAAACACATTCAGCTGTTATACATTTTTATGTGATAAGAACCTATGCTTTCCATGTTATTTTTGCCTTTAGTATCAGATTTTCTGTTAAAGATTTAATGCCTAGAAATGCATCTACTTCGTTATGTCATTAAAATGCCCTGCTTTGAGAGCTTTTTATTGCTGCTAGAGCCGTGGGACCAGACCTTGCTTGGCCAATTGACATGTTTAGACTTAGTTGTGATAAATAGTCAAGATCTGGCTGGTCTGTAGAAGCTACGATGGGATATATGACTGAATGATCATCTATTCCAAAAGACAGAAATCCCTCAATATAGAAAAGAAGCATGTCAAGAAAGGATTTTTAACCTGGTCTGTTCCTTTGAGATACCAGTTTTCCATCAATGTGGTGGATTATTCAATCAATAAACCAATATCTGCAGTTCCAACTTGTGCAGACAGGGAAATATTTCCCATCTTGTCTGGTGTTTGTATTCGTTCTCAGAATGACGTGAGCTACTGTTCTTCACAATAACTATAGGAGTTAAATGGTGCTGCTGATTTTCAATATCTACCCAGATATGAGGACATTAGCTCTGATGTAGCCTCTTGTTTGTGTCCACTTTTTTCCTAGGTCTCCTAGTTCTAAATGTAGTACCACTGAAACAAACAATACTTCAAATAAATATATAGTGTTTAGCAGTGGTTCTCATCCTATGGGTCCCCAGGTGTTTTGGCCTACAACTCCCAGAAATCCCAGCCAGTTTACCAGCTGTTAGGATTTCTGGGAGTTGAAGGCCAAAACATCTGGGGGCCCACAGGCTGAGAACCACTGCGCAAGAGTCTCGGACAGTTGGCATAATATGTAAACTTGGGACAAAATGCTTCCAAAGAAATACAACCTCTTCCCTTTTAAGTAGGTAGAGTTGTATTTTCTAAGAGGTTCTTCCTGCTCTACTTGACAAGACAGGCATTCAGAGCCAAGAAAGATAAGAATATTGAAAGAGGTGATTTGGAGAAGGTCATAATGCTGCATGTTGTTTTGAACACTTTTATGTGTTAATTGAAAAAGTATTTTGCAAATACAAGGTTAGGGCATTGCTGGAATTAGTGGTGTTTCTGTAATGTTCAGTAATCTTTGAAAAGCAGTGTTGTATTTGATTCACCATTCCATGTGGAAGTTATAATCATAATATTGTATTATAAATGTCTTACCAAAATTCAGCCCTTTGACAGGGGCACTGTCACTCATTGCTAACTATACTACAAAAATATCCAGGTGCCTATAAATTGCTTTGTTAGTCCTGTTCCACAGAGTAATACAGTGCGATGAATGTGTTAGCTTTGCGAAATGTCTCTTTTTCCTAAGTATTATTATTTGAGTGCTTAGGAAATGTGATGTCTCCAGACAGAAGTTAAAACTTCGAAGAAAGACACAAAGAATGTGTGCATTGAGCCAGCTATGCAGAAAGAGCCTAAAAGTATGTGTATATATTTATATATGCAAAAGACTGTCATCAGTTTCCTAAGCTGGTAACTTGTTTTGTTTTTAAAGGGATTTTTAAAGCCTTTGGTTTGGGTGCAGTTAGTGGGGTGAGGACAAACTCTAAACCTCATTGTGCCAATGCTTAAAAGCTCATGTCGTACTTGAACACTGATCCTTGCTCATAATTGACCTTTTAGCTTAAAGGAATGCCATTTCCTTTGCTTCTATTCCTTTGCCAGCTAGAGCAGGTTTGGGAAAACTTTGGTCCTCCAGGTGTTTGGACTTCAACTCCCACAATTAGGAATTGTGGGAGTTGAAGTCCAAAACACCTGGAGAGTCGAAGTTTGCCCATGCCTGAGATAGTGGGTAGCAGAATTTTAACAAATAGGAAATAGATCACAGTGTTTCCTATTATTGCAGCTGCTATGAAAAATCTGTGGCTGCTCAATTTCTTCTCTTTCTGTAGTCTTTAAGATATACACCCTTAGACGACAAAGCTAGTCGTTCCAACAGCTACGACACTAGAAGTTTTCAAACAAATGCTGTGCCAATAAACAATTACAATAGGATCATAAACTGTGATACACTGCTGTCGCACAAATATATAAAATTTCTGTACATTTAACTGATGCTTGCTTAATAGTATTTAGAATTTATACAGCACTTCAGAATGTCCAGAATTTAGCATTTATATAGCATTTACCATATATTATCTTTAAAATGTGGTAAAAGTACTAACAGGAAGTCAGGTTCGTTGCTGTATTGAAAATTGGGGTGCAGTGCTAAAGCTGTGAGAATATGACTTGTCTAATTGTTATTATTATTATGACTAAGGCCAACAAGGAAACTCACAGCAGAAGCTAAAGGCAAACTAGACATCCCTGACTGGTAACTCAATACAGGTTGAGTAGCACAGAGATATCTTAGAGATGGGACTCAGTTCCCAACATTAAATTCATGTATGTTTCATAAATACCTTATATGCATAGCTTGAAGGTAATTTTATACAATATTTTAAATAATTTTGTGCCTGAAACCAAGTTGGTGTACATCGGAAAGTGTATATCTCAGCCACTATGTGAACAAATTTGGATTGTGGAGCATCTGGGCAAATGATGTATCTAAAGATCAAGCAACATGTTTTATTATATACATCAAGGCTCAAAACAAATGTTTTATAATGGTTCATAAAGAAGTGTGGCGGTGCCAGTAGGAATTTGGGGAGGAAATACAAGGCTTAGATATTAGTTTCACTGCAAATAAAAGATCTCACACAACACAAGTAGCTACCAAACAGACATGAGGCTGGAGACTGAGGATCTGAGCGAAAAAGTAGAAGTGTCACAACCACATAATAATATACTTTATTTTTATTCCTCCCTTCTCCCCCAGGGGACTCAGAGAGGATTACAGCATTTACATACATAGACATTCATGCCTTTTCATATACAGTGAGACACACAAACAAAAGCAGAGGCTTCTCCTTTCATTTCCAGCTTCTGGAGGCAGTTCTCATCTCTGGCTCTGGGGAGGTGCTTTTTCTATTTTCAAGCTGAGTAGCCTGTGTTGTCACATCCTGCTTGTGTGGCCAGCTAGATTGCTTGGAGTGTCTCTGCCTTTTCCTGCCAAAGTGGTACCTATTTATCTCCTCACATTTGCATGTTTTCAAACTGCAAGGTTGGCATGAGCTGGAGCTGACAGGTGGGAGCTCACCCTGTGTCACGGATTCGAACTGCCAACTGCAGATCTGCAGTTCAGCCAACCTTCAGGTCAGTAGTTCAGCAGCACAAGAGTTTAACTCAGTGGTTTTCAACCTGTGGGTCCCCAGATGTTTTGGCCTTCAACTCCCAGAAGTCCTAACAGCTGGTAAATTAGCTGAGATTTCTGGGAATTGTAGGCCAAAACACCTGGGGACCCACAAGTTGAAAACCCCTGGTTTAACCCATTGTGCCACCACAGCTTCAAATGGCAAAAGCAAGTGGCAAAAAGAGAGAGAGACTCCAATACAGATATTTCAAAATCCCCCGTAATACAGGACACTTTCTGGTCCCAGGCATTTCAAATAAATAATATCCAACCTGTAATCTTAGTAAATGTGTTATTATAATCAGTGTGCATTTGGCATTTTTAAAGAATTTGGACTGATAGTGGGAAAATATATATCCACAGCACCAGTAATGGTGCTATAATTGTATAGTGTCAATGGGCCCCAGAGGACATAGGACTAAAGCTCCCAGTACACGACACCATTCGTCATGCTGGTTAGACCTGATGGGAGCTGGATTTTGATAATAAAAAACTTACAGGGCTACACAATTCACACCTCTGCTTTTCAGGAAAGCTTTCCCCTTGAAAACAATATAACACAAGGGATCGTGTAACCTGGATGCCACTCGTAGAAATGCATTGTGCTGTTGTGCGGCATCAAGTATTTTGTATGTATGAAGTGTTCATATGCATGATAAGGAGTTTTTGTGTGTCTCTATGGCAACATAAAGAACTCTCCAAGTCTCAAGTGTCTGAATATTCTTTTAAAAACATCTTGGTTTACACTGTTTGTACATAAAAGTTTATGAACCTCTGTTTCGTGTAAACAAATTGTCATTAGCTGTTTAAGAACTTGTGATCCAGGCATTTCTACCTCATAGGAGCCTATGAGGAATAACTAATGTGATACAGAAGAATTATTCTAATGCTGTTTACGGTGGTAAAAAGAATTATACCTCCATTGTTCAAAATTCTTAAAAATGTCAAATTAGTATTAAAGTGCTGTGTTATTCCAAGGACACTGATTTGCAGTTGATTCTGGAAATGTTGTCTAGACAAATGCATATTTTACCTTTGCCACTGCTATATGATACAATTACGATGGCCACTAGTTTTTAAAAACATGTATGAAAAAATTGTCTCATTCATTCATGGAAGGGCTGACATACTGAAAGTTACTAACTGCAAAAAAGTCTGTAATTTTGGTGTTTTCTTCTTCGATTTTCTTTTTTTTTTATCACATCCTGCTTGGTTTTTACAATTGCTTTCCAATTACAAGCAAGAAGGGGTCATTATTACTGTATTTTCTTTTGGTATTATTTTTTTCTAATTTTCTAAAGATTATCCATTCTGTCACTAATTGAGGTAGAACGTTGGATTGACCTTTGTTTTGATCCAGTGAGTCCATTCAAATCAGCAGCAGGTTGGACTGGATGTCCTTGCGGTCTCCTCCAACTCTGTTTGTCCGTCAGCAGAAATAGACAACCGTTGCTGTAGTACAGATTGTGTCTACATCACATTTCTTTTCTGAATGGTAATCTTTACTTTCATTAGGACTTTTAATTTGTGAACTTGTGTGCACAATTACAACCTTACAACACAACCAAGAGCCTTTCATGTAAAGGGACTTTTGTTCTTTTTGTCAAAGGACATACACAATGCATGCTTGGGGTCTCCCGTATCAAATGGTTACTGCTCAAAAGAAAACTGGAAAGCATCCTCTCTTGTGTGTTAATAGGCCTGAACCACAGAAATAGGATAGATACAGATGTGTATCCATTTGAGTGGAAAGACCACCAAAGTCTATTTGCCATGTCAGATGTATATAATCCTCTTCTGACTTGAGCTCAGGAGAGGAAAAAGTGTTTTCGCAAATATACAGCTTGAGCCAGCTGAACAAAGAGCAGCACATCTGACAACCCTTAAAGTACAGGGTGAGTTAAAAGTCACAAAGGGGTTTCAATATGTAATAACTCCTTAATTTTTGCTTTATTTACAGCACCATAATTTACAATACCATAGCATCATATGTGAATTGCCCCCTGGTGGCACAGCAGGTTAAACCACTGAGCTACTGATCTTGCTGACCAAAAGGTTGGTGGTTTGAATCCGGGGAGCGGGGTGAGCTCCTGCTGTTAGGCCCATCTTCTGCCAACCTAGCAGCTCAAAAACATGCAAATGTGAGTAGATCAATAGGTATCACTTTGGCGAGAAGGTAATGGTGCTTCATGCTGTCATGCTAGCCACATGAGCTTGGAGATGTCTATGGAAAACGCCAGCTCTTTGGCTTAGAAATGGAGATGAGCACTACCTCCCAGAGTTGGACATGACTAGACTTGATGATATATACACACACACATACACACACAGAGGAAATACATTATGTACAAAAAATAAAATCTCACAAAATCATCCAATATCACAGCATCATATAGAGTGTGTGTGTGTGTGTGTGTGTGTGTATGTGTGTATGTATGTATGTGTGTGTATATATATATATATATATATATATATATATATATATATATATGGCCCCCTCTGTGACTTTTGGCCTACTCTTACATTTGAAAACCAACTTTATTATTTTAAAAAGATGAAAGAGAATCTGTATTTGTAAATAAAACACTTCTTTCCAAAAGTAGACTAAATGATAACGTTTTGGGATCGGAGGGTGAAAGGTTTTGCATTCTGTTCGCTGGGCACTACGTTGCCAAATGTGTTGTAAAGTTTGTAGCTGGCAGCTGTGCTTGAGCTGTAAAATAAAGTCACCCTAAATTGAGATCTTGTATGTATTTTTTTTCACCCCAGGGTGTTTGAAAGGGGATGAAAGGGTGGCTATCATACTTTGAGAAGAATTAGAAAACTTCCTTACTAGCACCATGTTTTGGGAGGAAGCAAGGAAACAAGAGGGGTCTATTCAATTTTGCTACTAAGTAAGTTAATTTTCCTTAGTGCTACTAAGAACCTAACAACTATTGAAATAGAAGCTCAGTTAATTGCACCTAATGGGGCAGGATTCATGTCTCTTCTTGCAGTGCAAACATAAAAATGAGCACTATCGGTTTGTTTGGTTGTCTTTTTTGTTTGTTTATTTTTGCAAAACTAAAAGTTTTGTGGCAAGGCCAGAACATTCGGCTTTGGCTTCTCCAGACTAAAGAGCCTTTCCCCACATTTCTTGTTTCTCTTCTATATCTTTTTACAAACACTGAATGGGTTTTTATATGGGTTTGTTTCTGAAACTGATTTCTATTTGGAATTGGGTAGCTAGCATCTACCAGCTTAATGCAGTCTGTTGAATACATACTGAAGCACATCTGTTTTGGGTTCAAGGAACTCCAACGGGGCCATTGACATTGAGGAAGAATTTTGGAGAAGAGTTGTTTATGAAGCACATCAGAGAGGAAGAAGAGACTGCAGAGAAAATTAGAATAAAAACAGACATCAGTTATTTCCCCTCCTATTGCTGTGGTTAGTGCTGATCTTTGACATGTCACTCTCTGGAATGTGGAGATGATTTGAGAAGCACAAAGTATCATGCCAAAATGTTCTTGGTTCAGAAAATAACCCAAACAGATCTTCCTCATAAAGCTCTGACATGATAGTGAATGAGAGATTGTTGCATCTACAGAGTAAAATTAATACAGTTTGACATCACTTTAATGGCTATGGTTCAGTGCTATGGGATCATAGGAGTTTTTACAGGTTTTTAACGTTCTCGGCCAAAGGGTGTTGGTGCCTCACAAAACTATAAATCCCAGGATTCAAAAGCATTGAGCTATGGCAGTTAAAGTGGCATCAAACAGAAGCTGCACTCTTACTCAGACCAAAGACAAAACTGGACATATTTACAAGCTTATCCCATCACAATGGCAGCATCAGCAAAAAAATCAGTTTTTTCTCTAATGCTGTATCTTGCCAGTGTTATCCAGGGGAATCTACTGAAAGTAAGGTTACAAGATTTTTTAAAAAATACAAAGAATGAAAACAGGGATTTTAGCATAGGTATTACGTTATTTTTCCACATAATCACCATTCAGTTCAATACATTTTGTTATCTGTGGGATGAGTTTTCAATGCCTGTGTCATAAAAGTTTCCCTCTGCCTTTTCCAGCCAGTTTGTCACTTAGATTTTCACCTCGTTGTTATCAGAAAAGTGTTTTCCACCCAGGTGTTCCTTCAGTTTAATGAACAGATGATACAGCATTAGAGAAAAAACTGGGTGTGAGATCAGGGCTAGGAGAGGGGTGGCTTGAAACATCCCAATCAAATGAAATCAACAACTCTTGTGTTGCATGAGCGGTGTGCGGATATGTATTGTCATGAAGGAGATAGACTCCCGCCTTCAGCATCCCACAACGTTTGTTTTGGATGGCTCTGTGAAGTTTCTTCATGGTCTCACAATATATTCCATACCCATTTTGTCACATGCTGTCTTCACATTACGTCCTCTCCATAAACTGCAAACAATTTCACAGTGGCATTTATGCCCTTAGCATTTAGATAGCGTATTATAGCGTGAACTTTGCACTTGGAGGGAAACAGAATGAGGACGCCCATCTCTAACCTTCACCAAAATGCCAGTCATTGAGCTACTGACAACTGGCATTGCTCGGTCACTTCCACTAGCTTCCTGCTACATAGTAGTGATACCACTTCCTCTTAGAAAATTCCTTGCAAGACCTTACCCAATACGCCCAAATTTGAATACTGGGGGGTTGGGGAAAATTGATTTTGTCATTTGGAAATTGTAGTTGCTGGGATTTCTAGTTCACCTACAATCAAAGAGCATTCTGAACTCCACCAACAATGGAACTGAACCAAACTTGACACATAGAACTCCCATGACCAACAGAAAATACTGGAAGTGTTTGGTGGGCATTGACCTTGAGTTTTGGAGTTGTAGTTCACCAATATCCAGAGGGCACTGTGGACTCAATTATAGATCTGGGCCAAACTTGGCATGAATACTAAATATGCCCAAATGTGAACACTGGTGAAGTTTTGGGAAAATAGACTTTGCCATTTGGGAATTGTAGTTGCTGGGATTTATAGTTCACCTACAATCAAAGAGCATTCTGAACCCCACGAACGATAGAATTGGGCCAACCTTCCCACACAGAACCCCCCATGCCTTGAAGGGACTCACTGGCATGAGCCTCCCTCCGGCCTCACACACTTTCCCTTGCCTGCACATGCGCACCACGCTGCCATGTGCTGAGCATGCCTGCTCTCTCCTCCCCACTTGGAGTATCAGAAACAGCCCTCCTCTTGGCTGAAAGGCCAGCTAATCACAGCGGAGGAAGGCTTTTGGTGGGAGGATTCGCCATCTGTTTCCAAAAAGGAAGATAAGGACAGGCGGAGAGATCTTCAGCCTTGTTTGCCAAAGGGGTTCCTAAGACCATGTTTTCTAATGGTTTTTAGAGACCCCTCGGAAACCCCCTTGCGACCCCCAGGTTGAGAAACGCTGCTCTAGAAAGTAGTTCTTTCCCAATTTGAATTGCACTTTATTTTTTTTAAGGAGATGTGTATAGGAACTTGCATATCAGTATATCAATAGTAACACACTTCTGCTTAACACAAAATACGTTCACTCACTTGTGTGATGGAAGAAACAAAAACAAAGTAGAGCGTCCAAGACCATGTTGCCAAAAAGAAAGCGAAAGATCAGAAATGCAGACTGCCATCTAACAGCAAGGTGAGTTTAGGAGGGCAAAAAGTGGCTGATCTTGCCTTAATGTGTGTGGTGTTGACAGGATCGCAACAAGGTCAGTGTGAACCAAGAAAGTGTACCATTCAGATTTTCTTTTTTCAGCATAGACAAGCCCTCAGAAGATTGGGACTCAATAATTCATTGCATCTCCTTACTGGATGCATGCTGAGCACCAGCTGCTCTAGTTTTACTAGATGAGCTTTAATTCCTAAACCCAAAGAGCAGGAACAAGGTGTTTGTCCAAATCCAGTTTAGCAAGTATCTTCCTGACCTTTGCCTTTCACGGCGTATTACATCTAACAAAGA